ACAAAGAGGTTTTGTACCCGGATGCTGATAGAATAAAAGCATGTTCGAAGATTACTAAACAAGACCCATAATTTAGAAGATTAGACATATTGCCTCGAACATACCATCGTGCTTAATGTCACATTTACAATAATTTGCGTGATTAAATATTAATCTAGATGGTTTGTTCATATATATATTGTAACCTTTTCCTTGAGCAGTTTAATCTTTACTGGGTGGAAATAAATATAACATTGTTAAATAATTCCTGCATATAATGATTCTTCTATGTAATTCAGGATACGAATTATGAGTTGTATAACCATTTTAAACATAGGTTCAATTCAGTCGAAACACGATTAATCATGGTCAACAAAATGTCGGTGTGGTGAGACAAGGTGATGTGATACTTCCCCTTTCTTTCGTTGCCCCAATGATGCAGATTGAAGATACAATGACGAGTGCTTCCAACTACTCCGTTAGAGAAATATGTTATAACAGTTATCAATAGAGTCATGTGTAAGGACGTTGCCTGTTGTCAATTCAAATCTAAAAAGAAACTCAAAATGATTTCCTATGAAATGTTCTTTTTTATAAAAAGGAAATAGCTGCTGTGGTATACCTTCACTGAAGACAATAGTGGACTCTTTGGTGAGAGGTAAACACGTGACGTGGTACTCCACGTGAATTATAATTTAGTTGTTAAAGTTTGAAAAATAACATAAATTCTGAACGAATTGAACGGGACTGTATATTGACATATGTGGGACACATGTTCTACCCGTCTTCCTTCGAACAGTATCGCTCTTTGTATGCAAAATCTGTCGTCAGCTCTAACAGGTTACACATCCCGGCTGCAAAGTATCGATAAAAACATATTTGAAACAAAATTCTTAAAACACCATTGTTAGAAAATCAAAAGTCAAGATCAGACAAGCGCATGTTTCGGAAATTTAAGCCAAGGAGACGACTGAATATAGGAAGAATATAAAACTTCAAAACTTCTTTAGCCAGTTCAAACGTTCCTAACACCCAGGTCGTCCAACTGGCTCAAAATGCATCGATTAAGAGTTTAGTCAAGGTTTTGTTCGACAAAACACTGTCTATGAATGCTCTAGTGTTTTCAGTCGGGCGTTTGGAAGCACTCAGCTTCATAGGTGATGCACCGGGGGTAGAGTGGGAACTAATTGTAGCGGGTACCACCATGATATTTGTCAGGTCGCCAGACCGCACCTCCAGGCTGAGCCGTACCTGGGATTAAAATACTTTACCGCTCATCTTGGGGCACACTGACATTTTGTTTTATATTTGTTGATTTTTATCCTTGCTTCGTTTGATGATATTTATTTTAGATACCTTTTGTTCCTGGTTGGAATGTTTACACAACTGTGTAATGAAGGACAACGGTTTTATGAAGAAGTTAATGAAAACACCAATACTACAAAAGATGAATTTTGGGGAATTTCAAAACACTCCAATCCAAGTGAAAAATGAGTGCAAAGCATTATTTGTCTGTTTGCATGTCAATGGAATAGGAATGTTTAATCGAAAGTAGTGTAATGTTGAGTAATTATTTACGATTACTTTGAAGATCTTTTAACATTATTTTACACTCTACTAGTGGGATATGACTTTTTCTTGTGTTTTGTTTTTAAAAAGGCAGTGTAATACGATGTTTTACTGGTATTTGTTTGTTTATATGACAGTAGAATATAATGGTTGAAAGGTAATGGTTCAGAAGTATTACTATGTAATTACTTCTATTGAGTTGTGTGTAGAATATCACATTTTACTTTTTTGTGTGTGTCAAAGAAATGTTTAATATGAAGCTTCCTGGTACTTGTTTATTCATATGTCAGCATAGTAAAGGGGTTTACTAGAATTTCTGTATTCATATATTTACAAAGTGTTATGAAGGTTTAGCAGTAACTGTTTATTCATATAAATATCTAATGTTATTTACTAGTGTGGATTATTTACACAACAGATTAATGTGAAACTTTACTCGAAATTCTTTATTGAACTTACTGTTTATTACGATTGTTTACTGTTATTTATTTATTTATATAACAGGTATATTTGATATAATAGTGTAGAGTGGTTGTTTCACAGCATTTGGGGGAGTATAGTGGTAAATGATCGTTCGCTAGTAGCTATTTCATATTTATAGAATCATTTTATGTACTGGTTCACTAGTATATGACTGTGGATTATGTGTTATTTTGTGTTTTCCGCAGCAATGAATTGACACGTGTGGTATTGACTGCTTAATGCTTCATGGTGTGCAATAGGGGACCAAATCTTTTGACTTCAGTATGATGCTCTTTTATACGACGAAGGGCTTCTTACACAAAGCTCTCTCTTCTAAAGAGTATAAATTCTCTATCATAGTCGTTACGTTTTATATTTGCCAAGTTATTTGACTCCCTCTCCTTTAATGTCGTTTGGAAATACTTACTCAAGCAGATAAAAAATAAGCCAGAAGACGAGTTACTAAATTTTATATAAATGCCTTAGTTCAGTAATATTTACTTCAGATGTCAACGACATTTAGCATTGAACGAACAATTCTTCATTTAACAATTGTCAATCTAGTCTGCTTTGGTCGATATAATGTCAAAGACAGTTCTCTGTATTATACCATCAGCAGTGGTAAATATGTACGTGTCAAGTTTCCATTCAAATGTCCTGGGTTGTGGAAATTGTTATTTGTTTGCACCAAAGTAAGCCTTTAATGTCTACTCCTACCCTTCAACATAACGTGGTTAAATACCAGCTGCCTGAAGACACAGTGTGTGTAGGCCACAGTAAAACACGACACAGAATGTACCCTTTGTGGACATGCGTACATATTATTTGTATTGATGGTCCGCGGATGTAAACGAGACCTTGCTGAGAGTTGCTTCTTTTGAAGCATCTGAAAAGTGCATTGGGCTTATGTAACGAGACAAGCTATGTCAACAGAATATGTTCACACCACTAGTGTTGTCAATATTAGACAACTAAAAATAACAGGAACGCAGATGAGAAACACATGAAAGACATGACACCGTGACATGCTGTGGTGGATGTCATGTCGTTATCCAGGCCGGGACATGCTGTGGTGGACGTCATGTCGTTATCCACGCCGTGACACAGACAATGCCTCAGACCGAGCACTTATCCGCAATTTTTGTTTGATGCTTAACCTCGAAGTTAAATATCAGAGAAATGCATAAACATCGAAAATAAAGGTTCCATAATGGCGTCCGACAACCTCATCAGTGCTAACCATCTGGGCCATCAAAAAACACGTAGTATTTTTCATTAATTTGGTTAACTAAAAGTTACTTTCCTTAAGAAAGAATGTAATTCAAGCTGGTGTGTGTGTGCGTGCGTGCGTGCGTGCGTGCGTGTGTCTGTGTGTGTAGGGGGAGGGGGGTGATAGAGGCAAACCCCTATTAGTTTGGCGGCGAGGCGGCTTAAATAGGCGTCTCAAAAGACTTAGAAAACCGGTACCATGGAAGGAAACCAAAATGACGAAAGGTGTAGAATAAAAAGCATTCTTGCCTCTTCCGTTGGTACCTTGCTGATGTATTGAATTTGCGTCTACTATCCTTACATTATCAGAACATACATGAAATCACAGTACAGTTGGTGTTTGTACGTTTTCATTACATCTGGTACCTTGTGCAAAGTAAACATGTTAACAGTAGTTGAAAAAGCTTACAGAAACATCTTGTACGTATCATTGAACGACTCAGTTTTTTGTTATACAGAATTGAGTTTTTAAAGAAATGTGTTAATTTCGGGAGATATCGACAAGCGGGTTTGATCTAGCGAAGATGATACGGGTAGGGTAAATTGTGATATTTTTTTAATTTGAAGTTTACACATATACGGCTTTTCAATTGGACAAGACGTCGGTCACCTGACCGCGAAATTGACGTGCATAATTGTATGAACGACACTTTTTGACGTTCATACATTTTTCACGAGATCGTGTTCTTGAAATGACGTAAACACTGACGGACTACTTCCACATTCCTGGGGAAACCCATGGGATTTCCCTCGCAGGAATACGTACAGAAGCGTTCTTTCAGATCATTTAGACCCTTTAATCTTGAACTCAGCGTTTTAGTATACATTGAGAAACGTCAGAGAGTTTGACTGCACGATCGTTAGTGATCCTAGTGAACAAAACGAAGAAATGCACATCCAAAATATAGTAGTATCAACTCGATCCGTGTCTAGGCTGACAGTGACTATCTACAGCAATCTATGAGTTTACCATAGAGTCTATTTGACGCATTTTTAATCACCTTTCGCTGATCGAACAATTGATCAATGATGACTAAACCATGTAGTCGCCATAGGTTCATTAACAGCTCCCGAAATCTCTCCAGTCACGTTTATCGTGTCGGCCATTTTGACGTCTTGTACTTTATGTAAATGTATTACGACGCGCTGTCATGGAGACTGACTTACTTAACAGACCTTTCTCATCTAATGGTGCTATTATTTAAATGCATCTGTTATAAGATGCTTCTGAAGAGTAAGTTGTGAATACATGTCACATCTCGTTTCGAGGAACTATTTTATTCCGCCATATAGCTGGTTGTTGTATGGCTGTCAGTGTGAACATGAAGTCACACGTACTAAGTATAATTGTGTATTGATCATGGCCTACATCCTTTGTGATATGAAATTGTAATAAAAAAATATAAGAATTGACCTTTACTTTGTGTGAGTTCATTGGAGTATGAACATTCAGTTTGGCCCTCACTCTATGATGGCAATGAACTCACACAACGTGAAAGTCGATTCTTAATTATTCTTCATAGTGCAGTTACACAAACTCCGTTAATCCTACTATGGTATTGTCACTTTGGTCTTGATTTTGAATTGTGCACATATTTATAAAATTATTTCAACGCATCACTTCTACCCCCTCAATCAGTGCAGCACTAATAAACACTAACCTCAAACGCTCACCCCTAATACAGTGTAGCATTAATCAGGTATTGCTATTTTATTTTCAGACGTACATTGGTGACATCCTTGTGTTCCTCAACCCATTCAAGCCCGTTGACATCTACACACACGCGGTAGGTATTGCAGCTGGACCTGAGAACAGAAGACTTTACCCTGAATAGGCATTATATGTGTATTTCTTGTCTTTAGTCCTGTAGATTTGGAAGTACTGGGATCGAAATTATTTGTTTGAGACTCGGTGAGACGATTAACATAACTTCAATGACCAAATGTGAAACTATCTTATCATTATTTTGTGATAGTTTTAGTATCAGTATCAAATGAATCATAAATGCAAATAGCATTCTATGACATGTCATCTAGCTGGGGTGCATATAATGCCATGATAAATGTTTTCAAGACATTAGTGATGTCATAACAGGTGAATCAAACATTGATAACGTACTATACGTGGTCAAAACTCTGCTTTGGTTTGTTCTGAAATGTTTGTTCTGCTAGAGAAATGTGTATTGATTGGTGCCAGTTTCTGCAAGAGACATGTAGGTCTATGGGTGATAGATTCTGTTAGAGAAATGTGTATGTATTGGTGCTAGTTCCTGCAAGAGTAATGTGTATGTTGCGATGCTAGTTCCTGCAAGAGAAATGTGAATGTATCTGTGCTAGTTCATACAAGAGAAATGTGTATCCATTTGTGTTAGTTCCTGCAAGAGAAATGTGAATGTATCGGTGCTAGTTCCTGCAAGAGAAATGTGAATGTATCGGTGCTATTTCCTGCAAGAGAAATGTGTATATATTGATGATAGTTTCTGCAAGAGAAATGTGAATGTATCTGTGTTAGTTCATACAAGAGAAATGTATATCCATTTGTGCTAGTTCCTGCAAGAGAAATGTGAATGTATCGGTGCTAGTTCCTGCAAGAGAAATGTGAATGTATCGGTGCTATTTCCTGCAAGAGAAATGTGTATATATTGATGATAGTTTCTGCAAGAGAAATGTGAATGTATCTGTGTTAGTTCATACAAGAGAAATGTATATCCATTTGTGCTAGTTCCTGCAAGAGAAATGTGAATGTATCGGTGCCAGTTCCTGCAAGAGAAATGTGAATGTATCGGTGCTATTTCCTGCAAGAGAAATGTGTATATATTGATGATAGTTTCTGCAAGAGAAATGTGAATGTATTAGTGCTATTTCCTGCAAGAGAAATGTGTATATATTGATGATAGTTTCTGCAAGAGAAATGTGAATGTATTAGTGCTAGTTCCTGCAAGAGAAATGCGCATATATTGGTGATAGTTTCTGCTAGAGAAATGTGAATGTATTAGTCTTAGTTTCTGCTAGAGAAATGTGAATGTATTGGTGCTAGTTCCTGCAAGGGAAATGTGTATATATTGGTGATGGTTTCTGAAAGATTAATGTATATGTATTGGTGGTAGCTTCTGCTAGAGAAATGTGTATGTATTGGTGCTAGTATCTGCAAGAGAAATATGTATGTATTGATGTTAGTTTCTACTTTTAACCTACAATCACGCCATAGTTATGTTGAAGTATATTTTGTTGTGATAGTCAGCTTGTCCAGATGGTACAATGCATGTATTTACGTGACGTCTTTGTTCCAGCACCACCAGAAGTACAGCGATGTACAAGTCAGGGGGTTGCTTAAACCTCATATGTTCTGGATTGCTGATGATGCGCATAAGCGTATGCTCCGCACGCGCAGGCCGCAATGCATTGTGGTCAGCGGAGAATCCGGTTCCGGGAAGACAGAAAGCGTGAAGCACACAATCAGCCATATCACGCATAAGAGCAGCAGCATCCATCCGTCCCTGGATGTCAAGATAAATGAGGTAGATGCTGTATTTACTGGGGAAGGCACGGGTGGCCAAGTCGTCAGTGACGCCGCAATTAGGTGTGCAGAGTTACATTCCTCAGGCCTGTTAGAAACCTATAATCGTGGGTTCGAATCCCAGATTCGCCTTAATTATGTTTCTAGGTTTGTCAGCACCATGCCTCTGCTTGTTGGTTTCATCAAAGTGGTAAACGCCCAAGACCTGCTTAACTCCAGGCTTTCCTCCCACATTAAGCTGACACACCGTGATGTAACTGAAAAACTGTCCAAAGCGGTGTTAAACCCAACTCACTGGAGAGTGCAAATTAAACTATCACTATGAAAGCAAGTATCCATATTATACACAGCTAGTATCGCAAGTAATAATTATAATATAATAATATAATTATTAGGCTAGCCTAGTGGTTAATGCGCTCGTTCGTCACACCAAAGGCAAGAGTTCGATTCCCCACATGGGTACATTGTGTGAAGCCTATTTCTGAACATAACCATACACACTCACCATTAGATTGTCTTCAACCTTCATAAGTCATGTTTGAGTATATCAGGTCAATACATATCTGTATGAAATGTTCCTGTTTCCTTCGTTCAAATGCTTTTTTTTGCTTTGTTTACATACAAAACTCGTGGGAAGTTCTGTAAAATTTCAGTTCCATTTGGTATAATGTCCCTTAAAATGAGGCTTATACATACTCGGCCCTGTTCGTTCTCGGTGGTGTAGAGTATTACGTTATATCTAACATGAGTGTCTCCTGTATGAGCAGACATCATAGCAACTATTGGTAGAGATGAAAGTATTCCGTTGTCACAATAATGACGTCTGTTTATGATCAAACAAAAGCATATTTTAGATTTGTTTATCTGTTCTTAAGATTACGAAATATCTCGGCTACAATCTGTGGAATGCAACAAGCCTATTATCGTCGAGTACGGAAAGTCAAATGAGGAGTTATTTTATACTCTGATCAATAAATGACGGCCACTGAGTCTGCCGAACCACAGTAAACAAACATAAAATTATCAATCTCAGGTTTCTCACCATTCTGTCGTATCGATTTTAAATTCCTAAATCCCATCTCTATTGTTGCAATTTTTAATCTCTTCCGGTAAAGGTCACCCGATGGCTTAGTACTCAATTTGGATCCCTCACGTGCCCATGAGGGCGAGCAACATGAGATATTTTGGTATCTCTAAAAATAGTTCCCGATCTCAGCCAATCAATGTGTTTGTTGCAGGTGAACCCGTTACTGGAAGCTTTTGGAAATGCGCAGACTGCCATGAACGATAACTCTAGTCGCTTCGGCAAATATTTGGAGTTGAAATTTACGGCCGATGGCAATATGGCTGGAGGTAGGTTAATGCCGGGATGTCAGACTATTACAAGAATAAACACGGAGATTCATATCTCATAACAGTGTGTTGGTTCACGTGTGTGGTGGCCCAAGTCCCCGCGGCTACCTGGAATACCACGGGGACATGCTATTTCCGCCACAAGACAATCCTCTATCAATTCCCAACATTTAGAGGTTTTAAGAATTAAATTATCTGGATTTATTCAATGGATATCAGTTCAAGTGCGTGTGATCCAAGGCGATTGTTAGTTTAGATTTGGGTAGGAAACGTTCTGAGAAAGTATTGTGAACGGTAGTCGTTTGTCAGAAAGTATCTTGTCAAGCGGATATCTCAGGGACATTTTGAAAGTATAGTGTCCGCATCATCCCCTCTTCCGCAGCAACATCGGTAAAAATAGAACAATACATTACATTTGATGGAAACCAGTAGAAATCAATTTAAAAAAGAAAATAATTAAAGATATACGGCATCTGAAACAAGTCAGCGATGCTAAGCTGACATGTAAACATTATAAGGATATTGTTTTTAGGAAGAGTTATAATACTTTTCAAGGTTTTATAATCAGGAAAACAACTCCCATCTTCTAAACTCCACCTTTGACATCATCAATCTGTGTGCAGCACCTTCTCTGTGTGATAGGAATCACACACTCAGTAGAAATACTACTATTATTATTATTAATACTACTACTATTGCCAGTTGGACAGACCTGAAGAGATAGAGCAGAAAAAAGGTGTATTAAAGATATTATACAATCATTTCACACACTTCAAATGTATCTTTTGTCCAAAAGGTTGGCAGAAACTACAACAAAACACATGAAAGAACATTTGTATGTAGTTTTATCATTTGATCTGCTAATGGGGGATAATGAAACAAATTTCTTCAGAAGAAAAATACGTTTTTACCTTTGTTAAAGTTGAGAATGCCATTGCATGATAAAGAGACCTTTACCCTCATGTGGTTCCAGATTGTTACAATCTTATATGAGTAAATATATGTGTACCAATATATTACAATTTCTAAGACAGAAATCTTATACTCTCTAATGTTTTTCACCCCATGGGGGAGAAGGGGGAGGAGTCACAGTGTCAATCTACACGGCAGGGAAAACATTAAGATTTTTAATGAGAAATGTTGTATACACTGACTGAGACAATGTTATGTAAGTGGTGTCTATTGTTCTATACATTGACTGACACAGTGTTATGTAAGTGATGTGTATTGTTCTATACACTGACTGACACGGTGTTATGTAAGTGATGTCTATTGTTCTATACATTGACTGACACGGTGTTATGTAAGTGATGTCTTTTGTTCTATAGACTGACTGACACGGTGTTATGTAAGTGATGTCTATTGTTCTATACACTGACTGACACGGTGTTATGTAAGTGATGTGTATTGTTCTATACACTGACTGACACGGTGTTATGTAAGTGATGTCTATTGTTCTATACACTGACTGACACGGTGTTATGTAAGTGATGTGTATTGTTCTATACACTGACTGACACGGTGTTATGTAAGTGATGTGTATTGTTCTATACACTGACTGACACGGTGTTATGTAAGTGATGTCTATTGTTCTATACACTGACTGACACGGTGTTATGTAAGTGATGTCTATTGTTCTATACACTGACTGACACGGTGTTATGTAAGTGATGTCTATTGTTCTATACACTGACTGACACGGTGTTATGTAAGTGAAGTCTATTGTTCTATACACTGACTGACACGGTGTTATGTAAGTGATGTATATTGTTCTATACACTGACTGACACGGTGTTATGTAAGTGATGTCTATTGTTCTATACACTGACTGACACGGTGTTATGTAAGTGATGTTAAGCTGTATTTCCTGCCCCAGCTGTGCTGCTGGACTACCTGCTGGAGAAGACCCGCGTCGTGCAGCAGGGCCCTGGCGAGAGGAACTTCCACATCTTCTACTATCTCTTCGCTGGCATGACCAGGGATGAACTTCGTGGATACAGTCTCTCAGCTCCGGAAGACTTCAGGTAAAACATCAGAAAAAAGCTGCTCCAAAACACTAACTATACAGTTGAAATATTCATGGAATTAATGCGAGAAATCCCTTTCCTCATTGATAAGAAATATCTCTCAAAGTCCACTGTATAATTCCGACAGTGTTATTGAATCACTATCAAATAGTGATGATACCAGGTGTTTGCGGGAAGGTGAGCGTATCAAGCACTACCGGTGGCACCCGTCACAAACACATACAAAAGTAAGTCAGTTGTTACCTGGAAAAACACGGAAACATATGGTAAAAGTTAAAATAGGGAATTGCATCGTATGACGCTCTTTGAAATCTTCGTACAAAAAGCATGCGCGGTTGTACCTAAAAAGAAATGTAGAAATGGAGCTGCTGGAATATTCCTCGACATAAAGGGAAAATTGACTATTGGAAAGGTGAAGTCATCCCTCTTGCCATAGCCTTGTTAAAAAAACTTTACCACTCTGAATCCTTATGCATAGATCTAAACAACTTCCCTTTTATTGTGCTTGGTGTAGATATGATCCATAACTCTACGGCAGGAAACTAATTGTATCCTTAATAATTACAATGAATGATCCGTTAATACAATGCAGAAGAGGAAGGCGTTCAGTAAGGATCTAGCTAGAAGAAGGTAGCCAACTAAGGTATTGGTGAACAACAGAAGTCACGACAACACGTTCAATTTGTTATAAATAGAAAGAGGGAACTGTTATGCTTCATATAAAACTGGCCTTTATGAAGTCTAGTTCAGGCATCACTGTACAATCACATTATACCGGCCTTTTCTATTTTTGTTCACTGTCACATGGACAGGTACTGGCCAATTGTTAAACACTAGACGGACTTTGTGCCTCTCGATGGCCGAGGTCACGAGTGCGCACGCGTGGTTATGGCGGTCAGCGCCCAGTGAAGTTATATTGGACCAATCGAACAGACTGGCTTTGCAGTATTTGACTTTATCACACTAAATAAATTGGAATACTTGGTTTATAAGGAACTACCAGACGGATTCTATGTAAAGAATGGGATCAGTGAGACAAGATCAGGAAGAGGACAATCAATAACCCTACACGTTTTCGTACTTAAAGTTCAAGTAACTTACCCGATATTAAAGAAATTGCTTTCTTTGTCGATATATCCTTAGCCGTTGACTATTTCATGACTTCTGAAAGACAATGATGGGTTTTCTATGACCTCAAATGGAATTATCAACTACTTAAAACAGTGGTACTGTTCACAGCTCGTAATTTCTTTTAGGAAACCGCGAAAGTAGTAAAATAAGGTTCCTTCGAAGCCAGGGACCTTCCATGTCCAGCTTTTTCCTTTACTAGTCTCCCATAACTCTTACAAAGTGGCTCATGTATGTTACTGTTACATTCTTATGTTCTTTTACATGTATGTGTGAGGTGAGACTCAAATACATTTTCTGTCTGTCCTCTTGGAAAGAGGTTAACCGAGTAAAGCTGTGGTATATTCACAGGTACATTCTGTGGTAAATCTAACACGATGAACACATGGCTTTAACTTTGATTTGTCTTTTCATGATTGATATAGTCCTTCATATAACACATACGTGCAACGCCTACCAATGAGCATACTACTGCTGCCATAATGTAGGATGCATGGGCGTGAACTCTGTTTCAATCCCTGCACAAATTGATCCCTGTTTTCCCAGGCGTATGATCCATGTTGGTTAAGAAACACCGCACCTACATTTACTTGTTACACAAAGGTAACCGATTTAAACTGAAACAAGACGTAATCATTTTGAATACCTGGAAGTTCATTTTGCTTACTTTCATAATATGAATTTGATATACTGGCATTTAATTCTACTCCTTATAAAACGTTTTCCAAATGTCAAATGAAACGAAATAAACGTCCATTGATTAAAACCAGACTGTTGTTATGCTTGGATGCATACATCCATGTGTTTCAACGTATTCTACCTTTAATGATATCATTGGTCTCACGTATTAATTTAACTGAAAACTTCAACGCAAGAGAATAATTGGTCTCGAATATCTGCCATTCTTGAAGACATACCAATGGCAACAATTACTTTCTCTTTTAAAGGCCGTTTTTCATAATGAAATTGAATTCTTCAGTACAAATCTATTTTGAATGTCCTAAAATCAGTGTAGTGTCAACATGTCCGACAGAATGTGCACTACACTTGATTCTGCGCCCATCCATCAGCAAAATAGGACTATACTCACAGTAACGGTTCTCCAGATAGGAGTAAACTATACCTCCACTTTGTCTTTCTTCTTCCATGTTACCTAGTCTGCAGGTGGCGTGTACATTCGGTCTGTTGTTTATATTAGCTGACCTGACTTAAACACAATCGATGTCAACCGAACTGTGGTAATTACCCCTCTCTTTAACAAGTTGGTGCGAACAAGCAGCAGCTGGTGACACAATCTTGTTTATTTTCCCGCCAACTGAGACACAATGCTAAGATTAGGCTGTTTACATCTGGCTGTGGACCTGCTAAATCATCTTTAATTAGGCTCATTAAGTGTGTTTTTGCGCAGATGGAATGTGTCATGACTCCTCACATGCAGATACTTGTGTTTTGCTGGGTCATCAAAATAGCATTATCACCAAAAAGCATTTCCATAAATAGATATTGTTCCATCAATATTAGTAACGTAAACAAGTTAAAAGCAAAACTCGAACAATAAGAGGAAGAGTCTGATGAGTTCTGGTACAACCGTTCGTGTCGTCGAGATATTCATGAGTCTTAAACAAATTCTACCCACTAATATGCTTAAGAGTTCATTTTATGATTGATACAAGAGATCGCCATGCTTTAGTGTGCATGGTAGTATCAGCCTATTGCGGTAGACCCGTGGGGATTCGGGAAAGAACACAGATCCCCAAGTAACCTCTGCTTGTTGCAAAATTGATCTGGTGACCAGACTCGGTGAATTGTTTCATTTCATGTCATCGTATTCCAGTTGCCCGGATCGATGCTCATGATGCCAATCACTGGATTGTCTGGATTTTACAGACAGCCGTTATAAAGTTAGATTATTGCTGAGTACTGCGTTAAACAACAAAACACATGTTGCGGAACTGTACCTAGAACATATGGAAGAGATATAAAGCTGATACCTCTTTTGTGAGGTATATCAGACCATATGATTGTTAGACCTATGAAGCAGAGCCTACAGCATCACCAACTCCAATCTGCTTAGCCTTGTAATGTCATAATCACTATGACATCCATGACCATTTGATAGCTCAATATGAAATAAAGTTCACCCAATTCTACCTATGGATGACGTGATCGTCGTATAACACATGAAGCAATTTCAAATCTTACCTGAAATCATTGAGAACACCTGGTGTTAATAATCATCACCCCAACAAAGTAGATAAAAAGCACAAAGAAGGCTGTTGTTCTTTGTTTTTACATGCTATCTATTGTCTGGGTGCAAGACAAGTGTCAGATTACCTTTCGAACCGTCCTTCCTTATGTCCACCTCCTATCCAACATCCTTACCACAAAACATTGCCCACTCTCTTCCTATAAAAGTTAATTATAGCGTTTCAAGTATTTACTCCCCATTCAATTGCAGTAAACACGGGCAGGTTGCCCTTTTCGGTGTCTATCATACATAACAAGTAGTTCCGGCGCTGTTTCAGGATATTGAAGAACGACAACAGGAACCATCCTGTATTCCGGAGCACACGTGACCTAGAACAGAACAGGCTCATGTTCCACAAGCAACTCAATGTCATGAGACTCGTTGGCTTCACAGAATGGGTAAACAATAAATACTGAAAAACGTTACAAACAAAATACATTTATCCTCGAATGTTTTACTTATTTTTTTAATGTTTGAAACTTACTCAGTCACTTGCGATTATATTGAATAAGAAGGAAATTTTATTTTCAGGTTTGGGGGCAAAATGTTTTGAAATAATTGGAATAAATGAATGTTTCATACATCAATACTCATCGTTCTGGTGTAATTCTGGTTTAATTTGTTTACGCAGTTGCCATGATTATTCCAACACAAAAACGATGAAATGAAAAGTTATTAAAATTAACCAATGACTCACTATGGTTATACAGACAAATATGTATGTCTATGTTTTAATCCTGTATTTTGGTTTCGTTTCAGGAAATCACGATGATTTTCACTCTCCTTTCCGCCATATTGCACGTGACTAACATCTCGTTCGTGCGAGATGACTGTACAGAGAAAGCGAAGTTTGCTGACAAATCCAGTTTATCCATTGGTACGACAATCGAGAACATCTTACATTGATATAATTGCCACGTATAGCTGAGATTAAATGGGTGTGAATACTTCACAAAAACCGCTCGATCCAGCTATAAATGGCGTTGGCTTTGTGAAGGCTTATCTGAATAGATTGAAACGTAGTTGAAAAGCAGTGGGAACGGCATTCATCGCTGTATGACACTGTTACACTATCGATGGGTATTTTCAGGAAGTACTTACGGAACTAAAATATATCAACACCTTTTTTCCTTTAACTCTAATTATTTTTATTATTTATTGAGTAGTTAGATACTTTGTCATCCAAAACTAGCTTCCACAGGAGATAGCGCTTGGGCTCTGTCTCTTACAATGCTTTGCATGTGACGTCATTGTTACAATGATGTCACGTTCAAATAACATCACTTAATCTCTGGCACTAAACCTGTTTAGCTGAACTTTTAACACGCTCCGCACTGGTTATTGATGATTTTGGATGATACATAGAATGTTACCCGTGTGACTTTTGATAATAGATATGTCAACACTCTTTGTAAAAGTTTAGAACTCATCTTTAACTTTTATCAACTCGTGTTGATGCATTTGACACCAGCATGAGGTTCCCTATGTGGTTATCGTGAGTACAATAACACGGAACAAACAGCTTCAGTGACTGTGGTTTTCAGAAAAGGATCGTGTAACATCAGTACGATCTTTTGTAGGGAAAAAATTGTCATTCTCGTAAAATCTTATTTTCTCATCTCGTGACCTAACAAAGTGGCTGCGATACTCGTGACCATATAAACTTTAACAGGTCATTCCATTATTGAAATATCTAATTTTAAAAGAACGTGAAAAAGGCTTTCTGGATATTCTGGAGGGGGTAATGCAAGCTCATGACAGCACGTTATAACCAACATATTGTAAGCCAAATAGATGGACATAAAACGATTGTAGCAACCATTTCCGGAAGAACATGCCAAGCTTTAAATGTCTCCAATTTTGCACTCAGTCTTCAACACAAAAAATAAGCCAAGGAAGATGGTTCTGTTTTTGTAGACGTGCAGCCAGTTGTCTCACGTTGCTGTGCCGTCTGTGCCGCGTTCCTTCTCACCACTGGCTGAAGGGAAGAGGCAAACAGTAGCAATGAGCGCAAGTCGATTTAAATGCAGAGATCAAATTTACACGTTGAGCATATCAACTGACTTCAGCAATACGAGACATGAAAAAACCCTGGAGAGCAATGCGAGTTTTGTCGAAACAGCATATTCGTGTATTGTTGATTTTGTTCAGTGCACAGTGTACTGTTGATGACTTAGCGCAGGGGTGACAAGCTTCATGGTTTCTCAACAACTGGGTTAACTGAAGCAATGCAGCTGAGATCCCTTTGGCAACCTTGTGTAAATAAGATGAAAACCAACAATCTGCGCTGATGTCCATGTTGTCTATGAGAGGAATGTATCATCCAGGATTCCATGTGTATATTGGATGCTCCTGTCATGATGTTATGGATGAGGCAGCTATTGCAAAGTTACTCGTTGAAACGAATTGAAACAATACGTATTAGCAATACTGAATTAGTAATGTAGAACTTTCTGAAGAGTACAGTATTAATAACACTTTTTCATTTGGCCGAATGTTTTACAATATCTCTGAGCAAATTAAAGCGACAGACCCCTTTCCACACATTGGGAAGATGACAGGTTACGCATTAGGGAGATGAGAAGGTCGTAAGAAGACTATCTTTGCACCCAAGGCTTTCCATACTTGGAGGGACGGATGTATAAATTATAAATCAAAAAGACAAAATCTTCCGAAAGATATTCCAATTGGCGCAAACGGCACAACAGCGGTGAAAATTATACGAATGGATTACTAAAAATCAGTGATGACACTAGGTGTTCGCAAAATTTATAATAAAGCGACAAAACCCATTCCATATCCATTAAAAATTTCTGCTAAAAGCACAGTCTATTGTACGGTCCCGACTATGTCATAAGCATGTGTTTATGAATCACTATCAAATAGTAATGATACCAGATGTTCGCAAAAAAACATTTCAAGTGTCACAAACGAGCTTTTATGACCTTTATATTAGAAAGAGACCAGTTTTACAAAAATTAAAAATACACTTGCAAACGTGTTGATTACGTGTGCAACAGAGCCTGTTATGACTGATATGTTATCCCTATCACCTGGAGCAAGTTTCATATCAGCCTCTCTTGCAGTCGTTATTCATAGTACTGAAGAGGTCATATCCCTTTGGTACAATAATATGACATTTGTCGCCAAGATGTTCATTTGACTTAGACACAGAAATGTAAATGAAGTTCACAATTGCATATATTTCCACATGTTTATGGCATAAAGGATGATCCACTACCGCATGTGTCCTGAATAAGGAGAAATAATAAATAACGTGGAGCAAGACAAATGGTTTTATTGAGAATTGTTTTGACATGTCAACATTCAGTTGGAAAGGAGATATATATTTTTTTCTCAATTGCATGTCGAATTGCTTCAGCGACAGACTCATGTGAGCTGTATCTGAACCGAACGTGATACAGTCGAAACAATTTTAAAACTTGATGCTAAGTACTGATATTATATCTGAACATATAGAGTGAACATTCTGAAAGTATATAATGCCGAGTTATATTTCTATCACAAAGAAGCGACATATGGTAGTCCATACCTAAATAACAATGTGTCATGTGTCTGTCATGTGTCTGCCATGTGTCTGCCATGTGCCTGCAAAAGAACGGAATATTTAATATTAACTTCGATATGGTGTTAGAAGAGTACTATAACTGTTGGTAACAGGAACCTGTAAACCAGGTTTGTCAGGTTAACGACATACCCTTCTCTTGTACCTTGTCTGTGTTATGTGTTGTGTTTTGACGCGTTGTTTCACATGTGTGTTTCAGTGAGCACCTTGCTGCAAGTGAACAAGGATACTCTGTCGGAGACGCTCATCTCGTCTGTCAGCGTGGCCAGAGGTGAGAACCATGAAACATTGCAACTAAAACGCAGAATTGCTAATAGCTAAAATGTACAGTACTTTCACAGAATAGCTAAAATGTACAGTACTTTCACAGAATAGCTAAAATGTACAGTACTTTCACAGAATAGCTAAAATGTACAGTACTTTCACAGAATAGCTAAAACGTACAGTACTTTCACAGAATAGCTAAAACGTACAGTGCTTTCACAGAATAGCTAAACCATACAGCACTTTCACTCACTACAGCCGGTATATATCTATTCACTTTCAAGCAGTGAAACTGTTACACACATGACTTTGATACACATATACTTTCACTCACTATAGCTGAAACATATACTTTCACTCACTATAGCTGAAACATATACTTTCACTCACTATAGCTGAAACATATACTTTCACTCACTATAGCTGAAACATATACTTTCACTCACTATAGCTGAAACATATACAGTAAATTACGTTTCTAACGAACACGCTTATAACGAACTGACGGATAAAACGAAGTGGGTTTTTTTGGTCCCGTCCATTTTTGGTATATATGCTATATATATGCGCATTTATTAGGTTAAACTAAACTAAAATTAGTGGTCCCTTTAAGTTCGTTATAACCGTAGTTTACTGTATTTTCTTTATCACAGCTGTAAAATACACAACTTTCACACACCATTGCTATAAAATGCATCACATGCGGCTAAACCATACAGTACTAATCATTTTTATTTTTTAAAATTGAAAATATTTCGCCTTTCGTAGCCACGCGTTGTTATAGTTTCTTTTGCATGTGGATAACATATCAAAATATGATATACAGTAAACTACGTTTTTAGCGAACACGTTTATAACGAACTGACGGATATAACGAACTTATTTTTTAGTCCCGGTCATTTGCTGTATATATGCTGTATATATAACTAATAACGAACTACGGTTATAACGAACTAAAATTTGTGGTCCCTTTGAGTTCGTTATAACCGTAGTTTATTGTACAGTGAAAACTGAGCCCGTAATTCGGCAAGCCAGCTTCCCACACGATTACCATTGGGAACGTCTAAAGATGATAACATGAATAGTATCACATAAATACGGAACTACTTCTTATCCGGACAATGTATCTGGGAAGTGTACCGTTCGGAATAACGGGATGTCACTGTGTCAGCGTGAAGTGATGTAGTTCCCATATCTCCATGTTTTACTTGGGTCCATGTGCACCTTAATCGGTCAAAGGCAATATCAAAATTTCTGCATACTGACGTCAGAGTTTCACTTTCAAGTTTCTGTTTTCACCGAAATGCCTCATGGCCCAACAAGGGCAAACAGATGAGGGATGGAGTATGCTGGGAGCGCGGGGGAAGGCCCGGGGGTGGCCGGGGGGACAGGGAACAAGGGAGTCCTCACACCTCTGTGTAAATCTGCTTACTGGACACTCTTAAGAACTAAACCACAGGCATGCTTGGTTTGGACCATAGTGGCACTGGTTGAGAATAATGTGAGAGAAAAGGATTCAGAAATTGGATTTGGATTTTGGGTTTTCGAGTTTGGCATTGTGATGGTTTTGTCACAAAAAGTCGTGAAAAGTGAATAGAACTAATGTAAATATTATAACGCTTTCCAAAACACGAACTATGGCGTACTTAATACGGCTTCATGTACCACATCGGGAAGGGATGTGTAGAGTGAGTGAGTGTTAGTTTTCATGGCAGTCTTCCAGCTGTTAGTTACTGTAGAGTAGATGATTCAGCCGGGGAATTGGGTGAGGGGTGGGGAGGGATTCTGAGGGAAGTGATATCCAAGTTAATATACAGCCAGGTCAAAGAAAATATGCACTTGAAACTTGGACTTGACCAAAGAAGTACATACGTTACTAGGCCGAAAGCAGTCGTCGAAACACTGCCAGCTTAAGGTTCATTTCACATCTATTATACCCACATCAAATACACTACCATCGAATAATTATTGCTTGTTTGTTATACTTTTAGCCACCATCAAACATGGGTGCATACTTTTTTTTCCCCAGCAGTTTACATTAATCACACAGCAAGCAGAAATAACATTTATGTATGTACCTCAGACTAACATACCTAATTATTTGACTAACTAGTCATGTGTTAATTGCAGACTGGTTAGAAGAAGAAATATTGTGTAAAATTCGAATCCTCTCGAACTTCAAAAACAATAATTTAGAGTTATGTCCCGTTGGAACGACGACGATGACATGATAAATATGCTGAAATAGATAAAATCACAAGGAACATTTAGTAAAAGTATACTATTTGTTCACCTTTGTAAATGCAAGGGCAACGTGAACACAATAAGGTGAGGTTGCCTTTATGGGGGAATTGGTTGTAGCAGAGGCCAAACGAGCCAAAGACCTGTCAGAGAACATCACACCTTCAACACAAAATGCAAGATTGCACATTGGAGATTGAATGGATGGTGGTGAAGTGTTACAGAAGAAGGGCCAACAGTTATTTGGGATGAAACTACATCAAAGTTTATATGAAGACTTGGAGGGAGGGGGTATTGCTGGACAGCAATGGAGGGTGAGGGGAGATAACATGCTTCAAATGCCAGTATGGTTACATTCGGGAGCCCAGGTCAGCGGAGTTCAACTGAGGCCAGCGTGGAGGGCTGCATGGACAAACATAACATTGTGAAGGGCTTGGAAAGCCTATTACAGGCGACCTGTTAAATGTTTATCCTGGGATTTGTCTGTCACGTCTTTTCTGCAAATTGGAAGACTTGTATAGTGGGGTGTCGAGATGTGTTAGCGGAGGTGAAAGATCATGCTGTTGGCTAGCCTGTGTCTACACCGAACTCCGGGCACAGATGGTACACACATGCGTGCTGACCCTGCAACGCATAGATTAACCAGAATAATAAGAGTACATTTTGTTTCAACTGTGCCTAAAGGGGTCATTTAGATGTCATGCGAGCCTCACCTGTAGTGAACATTTCACTAAATGATACTGGTGTTGGAATCCATCAGTTAAAGGGAGGCTAGTCTTAAATTGGCAGCCCTTGCTAGTTTAAGTCCTAATCTACTTTGTCAAATTATGTATATCAGTTAACGTTTTCCCAACAGGGACAATGTCACACAGGGTAAAAATAACAACCTCCAGGCATGGTGCAAACACTGGAGGAGAGGTCTACTTTAATTCACGATAAACAAGGCTAGTCTGTTTAGTTTAGGTATTGCTTTCATATTTGGAATAAGTATCAGCGTCATGAGTACATGATAGGTACATTAGGAGTAGATCAGGAATAGATGAGTAGATCAGTAGATCAGAAGTAGATCTGAAGTAGATCAGGGAAAAGAGGAAACGTAGATGAGTAGATGAAGAGTAGATCAGAGGTAGAGCAGAAGATGAGGTGTAGATGAGGAGTAGATGAGTAAATCAGAATAAGATCAGAATAGATAAGAGTAGATGAGAAGATCAGAAGTAAATGAGGAATAGATAAGAAGTAGGTGAGACTAGATGAGAAGTAGATGAAAAGTAGATGAGAGTAGAACAGAAGTAGATTAGAAGTAGATGAGAGTAGATCAGAAGTGGATTAGAAGTAGATGAGAGTAGATGAGAAGTAGATGAGAGTAGAACAAGTGGATCAGACGTGGATCAGAAGTAGATAAGAGAAGATGAGAAGTAGATGAGAGTAGAACAGAAGTGGATCAGAAGTAGATAAGAGTAGATCAGAAGTAGATGAGAGTAGAACAGAAGTGGATCAGAAGAAGATAACAGTAGATGAGAAGTAGATGAGAGTAGAACAGAAGTGGATCAGAAGTAGACGAGAGTAGATGAGAAGTAGATTAGAAGTAGATGAGAGTAGATGAGAGTAGATGAGAGTAGAACAGAAGTAGATTAGAAGTAGATGAGAGTAGATGAGTAAATCAGAATAAGATCAGAATAGATAAGAGTAGATGAGAAGATCAGAAGTAAATGAGGAATAGATAAGAAGTAGGTGAGACTAGATGAGAAGTAGATGAAAAGTAGATGAGAGTAGATGAGAAGTAGATTAGAAGTAGATGAGAGTAGATCAGAAGTGGATCAGAAGTAGATGAGAGTAGATGAGAAGTAGATGAGAGTAGAACAGAAGTGGATCAGAAGTAGATGAGAGTAGATCAGAAGTAGATGAGAGTAGAACAGAAGTGGATCAGAAGTAGATGAGAGTAGATGAGAAGTAGATTAGAAGTAGATGAGAGTAGATCAGAAGTGGATCAGAAGTAGATGAGATGTTTGTAATTTAGTCGGCATATCGAGACTAATGGTCAAAATAGAAATGTTCGAAACACACCGTTTCAGTTTGTATTTGTTGTCATCATTTTGAAACCCTATAGAAACTTTATAAGCTAGGAACAGCAGGCCCATTTGATTGTAACATTAATCAGCAGAATTAGTTTGCCACACGCGTAATACTTTATATAATCTTTATACTTGAATATAAACATATCACCGACCGTATCGTCCTAAATATAACACAATGGTGTCTGACCTTTCGGCTCTACCCTGTGTCTGACATCGGGTGACAGATATGTGGAAAGTCCATGAATGGATTATGACTTAGTACTAAGATAAACAGGCACAGGTGCATGCTATCCTGGCAGTATGGGACGACTCACGGCCGTGTCAAGGCAACTATCTCTGACACATCCATGCCAATGCAGCATGTTTGCAGGGGTATTGCAGGTACTGTGTTTAGGATGGTCATGTAGTGTGAACGACGTCAGAGAGATGAATCTTGGCACTACAGTCGGCGTTTAGAACCATGTCAAGCCGACTGGCTTTCCATGTTTAATTTCGTGAATGCATTTTGGCGTAAAGGAGAAACAGCAAAAAAACCCTGATTTTTCATTGAAAAAGTCACTTTGACAGTCAACTGCAAGATCGTTTGATAACTTAAAAACCTGTTTGACTTTGCACAAAAAACAGTTTGGACACTACATAAAACATCCCGATCACTGTTATAGTGTTTCATTGTGGATGAACTGCGTTAAATGGGAGGAAATTCGTTGATATTCTGTTCTCTATCACAAACACGGGGGGTATTTAAAACAATTGTTAAACATTCCTAAAAAAGAGATTTTCCCAGAAGATTTAAAAATAAAACTTCCTCCTTTTTCTCCTGAAGTTTGTGTGGTGGTGCTTGATTAGGTTCGTCTTACGCGACATGGATATAAAAAACAAAGAGAAAGGCACTAGCATTATTGCCATAGAAGGGCATTGAGATGAGGACTGAAATTAATATTGGCTGAAATATAATACAATTAATATTAATGTTACATTTGTCTTCATTAGTAAAATTACAAACATTTACTTGATATATGGATATTAGAAGATAACCTGGCTAAATGATTAAATTAGAATATGATATTACATGGAAGTGGTTTGGGAAAAAAACATGAAAATATCTGGATATAAATGTGTTTCAGTTTATTTTATGTTGAAAAGTGAAGTACTTTGATCAATACACAACATATCTTTTTTGGTGATTTGGGGAATCATCTGTTGGTATTGATGAACTTTTAAACAGCATTTATTGATTCATACGGGAATGTAAGATAGTTTGTGCCCAACGCCTTTGTGGAAAATCGACAATACAGGGATGGCGTGTGGCCTGAACCCAAAGCCGTCAGACTCGGGCTATTGGCTGCCAAATGTATATTTGTTAAAGTGTGATTCACAGGGACAATTCGCGCTTTAACAAACTGTCTTTTTAGATATTTGTACTCTAAGACAAATACAACCACATTGTTATATATCAGTACCAAGAGATGGATAGTGGATAAGGGAATTATTTTCATATTAATTAAAGTCGACAAGTTCATTTTATTGTATTTGTGAGTCATTTAAACACATGCTGACATACATTATAAAGCGAAATAACTCCACTGACGGAAGTAAAGTTAAGATTTAATTTCTTCAAAAGACGTCCTTCATTCGTCCCAGCTATAATAATTCCGTTTCAATTCTAACAAATCGAAATATTTAACAGTTAAATAGATCCGGATACAAATTAAGTGACCTCATATCAAATAGACAAAGTTTTAAGAGTGTATGTATATTCAGCTTAAGGAAATTTGTGAAAGGTTTACACCCAGGATCTGCTATCAATAGACCAACGACTCATTTCAATGCACATATTAAGAGAACCGTACCGTTCTGAAGGCTAGATACCAATAAATTGCACCGAAATGTTGCTCCTCAAACTTAAATCGAAAATATAATCCTCATTTTATGAGACTACTCGCTGCATTCGTGCACATCTGTGTGTTGACATGCGCATTGGACCTCTTGAGTCCAGACCTCGTTAAACCGGACATCACTCCAATCGTGTCCGGAACGTCTCAAAAAGCAAATGGACTTTATTTCGAAGCTATGGTTCCCTATTCCGTAAATGGGTTTACCTACAAGATTAAACTGGGGGCGGAACTGTCAAGGGTCACTGTATAAGATGTAATACATTTCAGGTGAGACAGTGGTCATCCCCAAGACGGCCGAACAAGCCGCTGATGGCCGCGATGCCTTGGCTAAAGCCCTCTATGCCAGACTGTTTGGCTGGCTTGTGAAACAAGTGAACTCCAGACTCAAGCCGGACAAGGCATACAGGTGCGACTTTAACTGGTAACGTTGTCGTGCGCGCATGTCGTCGTTAGTTCAACTAAGATATAACCGCGTGAGGCAGAAATACTAAGTCAGGGGAAATACTAAGACAAGGGAAATTATACTAAGTCAGGGGATATACTAAGACAAGGGAAATACTAACACAAGGGAACTACTAAGTCAGCGGAAATACTTAGTCAGGGGAAAGAATAAGACAAGGGAAATAATATTAAGTCAGGGGAAATACTAATACAAGGGAACTGCTAAGTCAGGGGAAATACTAAGACAAGGGAAATTATACTATGTCAGGGAAAATACTAAGTCAGGGGAAATACTAAGACAAGGGAACCACTAAGTCAGGAACGAGGGAATTAATAATAAGTCAGGGGATAATAATAAGTCAGGGGAAATACTAAGACATGGGAACTAATACTAAATCAGGGGAATACCAAGATGGATATTGATTATAATTGGTTCAAATCGGCCCATGCCACCACCGCAAATTGATGGAAACCCTTGCAATGAAGTCCTATGTAAATGTCGGGTGGGGACGGATGTGTTTATGTTTCGGAGCCTGTGTCATTGGGTTCGCACGTTCATATTATATTTCTGGTCGTCTAGTGATCCCCTCCCCTCCTTCACACGCACACTGAAGGTTACAATTAACTTCTGAACACCCCCACTCAACACACACCTGAACTCATGCCCCTCATTCTGCCTCTGTTATGCATACATTCATTGTAACTTGCTCATTCCCTTACCAAGAGATGACCAACACATCAAACATCCTCCTTAATTCATTACATATTCAATACTGAGCCCTTCGTTTTGATTGAATACTGAATCCTTCTGACCCGTGAAGATCCGGGTTAGAATAGGTCTTCAGCAACCCATGCTTGCCGTAAAAGGCGACAATGCTTGTCGTAAAAGGCGACTAAAGGGAATCGGGTGGTCAGGCCCACTGACTTGGTTGATGCATATCCCAATTGCATGGATCGATGTTCTTTATGTCAATTGCTGGATTGTCTGGTCCAGACTCGATTATTTAAAGACCGTCGTAATACAGCTTGGATATTGCTGAGTGCAGCGTTAAACAAACAAACAAAAAACACAAAAGAACAAATTGAACGCTTCTAGTCCCTTCCTCACTCCGATGTACGTGTTTCAGTTACACCCCCGGTCCCAGCATAGGCATTCTGGATATGCCTGGATTTGAAAACCTCAAAATTAACAGCTTTGAACAGCTCTGTATCAACGTAGCCAATGAGCAAATGCAGAGCTTCTTCAACGACCACGTGTTTGTCCTGGAAAGGCGGGAGTATGAGCGTGAAGGCGTACAATGGCGGCATATCAACTTCCGGAACAACCAGGACCTCCTAGACCTCCTCATCATGGTGGGTGTGCATGTAGATGCTGTATCAACATAGTTAACTATGGTCACGGAATCGGGAAGTCCTCGTCAACAAGCGTCACTACCTGGCATGGTTGTGGGGTCGTACCAGGATATCATGTTTGTTAACAATTCGAACGTGTATCTCAACACGTGATGTCATCTGCAAACATGTTGTCTTCTACCGTAGGGATTCCGGTTAGAATAGATCTCCAGCAATGTATACTTGTAAAAGGTCACTGAATGGATCTGGTGGCTTGGTTGATTGCGTATGGTCGTACCCCAACGGCATGGGGCGTTGCTCATAATATCAATCACTGGTTTGTGATTTTTTTTACAGGACGCCGTTAGATAGCTTTGAATATTGCCAAATGCGACGTTGAACAACAAACAAACTCAATGTTTACATGAATTTGTTTTATAATTTTATTAAATCATCATTTTTATGGCAACGCAAGAAAGAGTTTGTTTTTATCGCCATTTATTTCTTAAATAGTATGTCAGTGTGGGAGGACGCCAAAAATGGCTAGGCCATGGATATGTATCATTTGGTGACACTCAAGTGCACCTCTTAGATGCGAATAAATTAGGCAATGAAGCGAGAATGACACAGAACGCCCATCACAGTACGCCCATTATCAGTACATATATTGTCACTAAATAATACCATATTTAATTCTTATATTAAAATGTTTCCATCAGAGCCCAACTAATGAATGGTACTGGTTATTTTACTATCAGAAACCCCTGAGCATCTTTGCTTTGCTGGATGAGGAGTCCAAGTTCCCCCGCGCCTCCGACTCTACCCTCGTCGAGAAGATCACTACCAACTGCCAGAACCACAAACTGCTCACCAAGTCCAAGGCAGGAGAACTCGCCTTCAGCATCCACCACTATGCAGGCACCGTGAGTGCTTAAACGATTTCATAGTGTAGACATTTTCAGTTGCTTTAGCATCGTCCTTCGACGAAAACTTGTTGTCAGTTGTTTTAATTAAATCCAGTGAAATTGTAAACCATAAGCCGCCATGCTTTACGTACACGTGTTGTTGTATTTCAAATTTATTTTAATGAAACTTGCTCACCGAGACTTGTTGAAAAAAAACACCAGTTGCTTTAATTGAAATCAAAGAAATATACGATGTCGACAAAGGTGTAATTTTTTCAATCTCATTCAAATCAGTTCTTAGCGCTCGCTACTGCTCTATTTGTTCAACGGTAACGAAAACTATGATCCGATTTGAATGAGATTGATTTCAAATTAGTATAGCTCTAAGAGATACGATGATGATGATGATGATGATGATGATGATGTGTTGTGAAACAGCACATGTAACATATGAATAAAATCATCTTATCTGACTAAACTGTGTGAGAGTGGATGTAACGTGGGCTGGGTGGAACTTCCCAATTATGCCCCAATTCACAATTATGACGTCATTGTGGGTGTGGATGCGACGTCACACCGATGCCCTGGCGTTGTGTGGCGTCACATTGATGCCATGTATATGTGACGTCATTATACAGCCCTGTATGGATGTGACGTCAGACTGGTGCCCTGGTGTGACGTGAAATTGGTGTTCTTTGTTGCAGGTGGAGTATCAGGCTGCTGGGTTCCTGGAGAAGAACAGGGACAATCTGTCCGCCTGTCTGGCCGACTGCATGAAGTGCAGCAAGAACACTCTCATCAGTGACCTCTTCAAGGCCAAACTCTCCAGAACTGGCACCATTTCCAGGTACAAACCCACGTACACTCACCAACATCCCTTCCCCTGTATATCCACTGATTTAGTTTTCATATATATAATGTATTTTGTGATTAAATATTACATTTATCAAATATTGATCCAATATTTCAATCGGGTGAAGAACACTATATTCCGGAACTACACTCAATCTACCTCAGTGACACTTATGCTTTCAGAGTTAGACCGTGGAAATGAAGCTGGGAAATACGTTATAAAACATTTGTCTTTTCTTGTCAAATAACCAAAGTTGACATTTTCACTCATGGCTGATGTATTCATGAAAATATCAATTTTGTAGGTCATTTGATGAGATATACATCTTATGTGACAAGTAAAACAAATATTTTGTATGTGTCATATCTCTGTAATAATTCAGGCAACATCTGCTTACCAATTTCATCTTTATAGGATCAGTTATAATACAACTGAAGTAAGGTAAAAAAGAAACGTCTTTTTTTATTAAGCTCTGTGACATAGGTTTTAGTGTCAACAAGCATATGCGTTCGTGAACAATTATCACGTTCTCCATAACCAGAAACATGGCCACCAGTTGAAGAACACGCCAGCTTTATGAATGAGGTAGAAAGTCCGTCACCTGACGGGGAAACGTCATGGCTAACTATCGAGGGCACGTGTCTACTTTATCGTCTACATGTTGAAAACAAAGCTGGCGATGTAACGTCACCTTTTCTTGTCCCCAACAGAAGAAACACGTATCACGGTGTACTGTAACGGAAGGTCTAACCCGAGGTCACGGTGACTTCTGATTGTACGTGCTCAAATATGTACGCCCATTTAGACCTACTACAATCAGGTGATAGACGGGGATCCGACAGGGCTGATGCTATTTGCGTGAACTCTTTATTTGGACAGTCGAGAAGCAATTTGATCCAAAGCGGAACACCAGAGTATTTTTATCATGTAGGCCGATGTGAAAGATCTTATCCCAGAGAATTTAATTAAATCGACGGAGATAAAAACACAACACAAACTACAGCATAAAAGAACAGCATTCAGAGTTGTTTTATGGTAATCCACTAAATATTGCAGCGGGATATATTTCTAAATACTTCATACGAACAAATACTTAATTATTTATGCAATTTGTGTGAGTGGCTGGTGCTACCTGTAGGCTAGGTCATGCTCACTCTTTTCGCGAAAACCTGATTTCCAGTGATCCATTCATATTATTTTCACCCCTTTTTGACTGTTACGCCCAGTGAAATTTGTTTCGGCGGATCATCGGGATTGGTTATTCTCTGTCATTGACGTTTGATATATTTTCAGAAAACTTCTAACAGAAGTCTTCCCCTTTACACAGAATCTCCATCAAAATATCTCCTTATTAAAAAATTGATACATCCAGAAGAGAATGACGCAATACAACCTCCGCATGACACACGATCCACACTCAAAGTAAATTTTGTGTGAAAAACACCGTACCGGATGTCAAATTCGCTGGGCGTTAATTTCGTCTGTAAGCAGAACTCCAATCTAATTTGTAATGTTTGCGACTACGTAACGTTGTAAATACTGTGTCAGTCGGGGTGTTCATGACCAAGTCAAACTAGAATCCGTGTTGCCATTTACCCCGGCAGTTACAGACCACATTTGTGAGATTCCCCACCGCACTGTCCCCAGGCTTGGAATACTGCCTTGCCACCCAGAAGCAGAGGAGTCAACTATGCTTGTCTATTTGGACGACCCCTGCGATCTTTGCGGGTTCCACGTTCATGTGGTATTTCTCTCAGTTTCCGTATGTGGTTCAACTGTGGTACGCTGGCGCTAGAAGTTGGGTAACCCTGCATTCGCAATCCTCCACAAAATCGTAAAACGGCGAGAAAAAGGTTCCAACGACAGAGTACCGTTACATGGACGTCTTTGGGCATTTACTTAACGTTTGATTGAAAGACTTATCACTTATATGTCTTTTGGGATAAAACCGATGTATTCGTTTTTGGAATTCGTGTTTAGCAGCCGCTTGTGATATCCGCTGTCTGCTGAAATATATCGCAGACGGGCATAGATTGTTTTTTAAAAGAATTGGAACATACAAACTATTTCAGTATTAGTTAATTTTAGTTTATTTTTTTCGTTTAAACAGACACTGGCTTGACGAAACAGTTCTGTCATTTTGATAGTTGTTATTGCAAGATTATCGCCAAAAAAATGTTTCATTAAGACATGAATGCTCCATGTTGAATATGATGCACCATTCTGGATGCTTCAACAATAGAGGCTGTGCCCTGTGACAGATCTGTAGCGTTGTCTAAGCAGCCATATTGAACATAACACGGCAACGCCTCAGAAAGACCAGGGCCTCGTTCCACAAGGCGACTGTAGCGCTAGGACGATCGTAAGGCCCATACGACTCTCGTAGCGCCACGATCGGTTTGTTGAACGGGGCCCAGTCTCGATTATCCAGCGAAACTGACTCCATTGGGCGTACAAGGTTAAAAGTGGTGAAAATAATATAAATGGATCAACGAAAATCAGTGATGGTACCAGGTGTCATGGTAACCTTAGCGATTAGATAAGGGACCGGAGTACACGGTCGATCTCAGTCGTCTATGGCGCAGGCAAACCAGAAACCCATGTGTGTGGGTTCGAATCCCATGTCAGATAATGTTTGTAGTGTATTAGCATATATCCGTGTTCTTGGGTTCCACCAAAGTGTTAATGTCTGAGCCATGCATCACAATTCCTCTCTCATGAAGCTGACACGCCGTGATATAGCTAGTTAAAACTGTTCAAAGCGGTGTAAAACGAAACTCACTCACTCAGATGCTTAAAGAACCGACCTGTTAACTTTCTATAAGAGTGAGTGAGCGAGTATATATTCTAGCAATATCACGCCGGGGACACCAGAAAAGGGACTCATCCATTGTACCCATGTCGGGAATCGAACCAGGGTCTTCGGCGCGACGAGCGAACGCTTTAACCACTAGGCTACCCGACCGCCCTTCTACAAGAGATCGCCATGACTATTGTATATGGTAGCATAATCATGAGTTTCAAAGTTAATCTTTGTACAACCCAATGTTTTTTTTTAAAAATCATTACATATTTAACAGAATGGTTACAATACCTCAATCTCCCAGGTATGCGTAAATATGACACCGATGATTTTTAGTGATTCATTCATGTACCTTTCACCTTTATTTTTACATTTTACGCCCATCTGGAGTATATTTCGGCAGTTAATGGACGCTGATATTTTGTATTTACTTGTACCCATGACGTAGCATCAGCAACAACGTAGGTGGTGAATGGGGTGCGTTATCATAGTAAATGTAGGACGGGTGAATATTGAAAGGATTAGGATTTCTATAGGGTGTATACAAATATAGCGAGATGACACAACTAGATACAGCCTATTCACAGCTTGAAAATAAAGACGTGATCACATACTCCTTCTGTGTTGTAAAGACGGCATTATGAGTGTTTTGGGAGGAGAATACATGAGGTGTATCTTCTCATAACCTTGCCTCAATGACTAACGGCTTTATGTAACTGTTTATCAATAAATATAAGGATTGGGTATATCCATGTTGAAAAGAAGTCCCCAGTTTCTTCTCGATGGTGTAAGTGAGGAGCAAGTATTCGTTTCACTGACAATCCGGATGTTTCTGTTCGCTCGAATGAATCTTTCTAAAGTGTTTCGATTGTGTATTGTGAGTGGTATACATTAAGAGCATAAAAAGTAAGTAAATATTGACTTAATGATATATTTTATAACTAAAGGAAAACATGCAAATTCATAGAGGTTGTTTTCACTGATGTTCATCGTTTCAATGCAACAAAAATGTTATGCTGGAAGATAGATCAGAATTAGTTATCCCAAACTTGTTATTGATACGAGTTATAACGTCCCGCTTTCAATCCGACATTTTCATTACATAGTTATTTTTATACGTTTCATGTATGCTTCTAGAAACAAAAATAGCTTCCGAATAGAAACAGGAAAGCAGTTGGTACTATACAATTGTTGTTTACGTGATCTGTTTACGTTTAATACAATCCATGTAAATGACAGTACAATGACACTTTTTTATATTTATTGTTTTACAGACTAAGTTTAAAGTCCATTACCTCTTAAATACCAACACCGTCCCCCGTAAATATCCAACCATCGCCAGTGTCCCTCTTATGTAAGTTACGTAGTCTAACGTCACTTTCTGAATTCCAAAGTGACGTCACTTGGTCGTCATAGCTTCCGAAGGCAGGGTACTGTCGTCCTCAACAACAAACGGGCTTTAAACACGAGCCATCAACCCATGAATTAGAATGAAGGTATTTCAACATTGTACGAAACAGGTGTGTATCATGACGTCACACCCTCTGTTTCAGCTCATTCGCTACCAGGCCGAGGACAAAACACCAACGTGCAAACAACAGTAATGATGTTTTTCCGGATGATAGGTAAGAGGGGCCAGATGGGTGCTCCCAATTCAAACAAGAATTCCGTCAATATTTTCAGAATCAGAATTAACAATTAACACAAGATAAATCATGCATGAATTATTTATAATCAGATATTTCACTTTAGATGTTTTTATCATTATATAATATATAACTATTTGTATGAACGACATGTTTTTGATTGTTAAATACTGAAAACAAATTTGTGACTTGACCCCGGTTAGGAGTCTCAGTTTGTGGAAATAAATGAATTGACTAGGTCACTGATGCTACATCAAACACAAGGTATGAATTCCACGGTCAGGAGCTGCTGACTGATAGCTATTCTCTACCTACATGTAAAGTCAGACAGAAAGGACTACCCATCCCACCCAATAAGCAAGCTCTGCATACATTTTGATGTTTAATGCAGCTCATGGCTTCAATTGTTGTGGAGACTTAATTAGACAAGCGCCATTACCGGATTGAACCTACCAGAACCCGAAACATACAAATGGCGATCTTTGCAAACAACTCCTGTTCTTTGAAGGCTCCAGATCACTTTCTTGAAGATGTACTCTCCGTTTTTTAAGGACATTTTGTGTGTTTGATTCTGACGGATCGTGACTTGCGATTATATTCAGTGTTTGTTTTTTCGACGAATTCAAACACGTTTTTTGTTGCGGTAGATGCCAGTGCAAGCTCTTGACCATTAGACTTTAGATTTTCATTGGCCATTTGAGAAGAGACAACACTGGATGTGAAGTATTATCCTTGTGAGAACACACGGCCATCTTACAGTATAATAAACCGAGAATTAATCACAGAAGGCAGAACTGATAGCGGGGAGCAGTGTCCATTGCTATACTTATCAAACATTGGTGACATTTTCACTGTGTCAGTGACAGAGGATATACCATTGATACTAGATGTCTTGTCTCTTTGTCACAGATATGACCGTTCACTGAAAGACAAACATTCTACAACTGTGTCACAGTATTTCAAGGTAGGTGAACCTTTTTTTTATTGACTCACTGGCGTTGACCTATGTCCACCCTAGACGTAAATTAGCATGTGTTAATAGTACACAACCTGCCATTGGTACCCCGAAGTACAAACTTCAACTTACTTAACTTCATAAACGTCTGATGCCCTGGCTGGTGGAGGGAAGTGGGGTTTTGGTAGAGTTTAAGTCAACTAGAAAATGTTTAGTCCGATACATTAAAACTGCGCCCAACTATGCTGCAAAACAAATAATTTTCTTAACGTTTGTTTTATTTATAAGCAGCAAAATCTCCCGCATTTGTACTTAATTCAAACTTACCATACCGTTTTTATTAGTATCTGGTTCATCAATCACTTGATTGTCTGGTTTGTTTAAAGGCTGACATCGCATGGCAGGAGTACTGCTGTGCTGCGTCAGGCAATAAATACTTACTTTTTTATGCAAATTGTGTGAAAGGCGGGTTCTACCGTTAGGGCAGGACATGCCTACCCTTTTCGCAAACACCTGGTGTCATCACTGATTTTCAGTGGTCCATTCATATAATTTCGACAGCTTTTTGCCCTTTACGCCTTTGTATCGGCAGATCTAGGCTAGTTATTCTCAAAATAGACATGCGAGACGCATTAAGATCGTAATACAGTTGCGAATGTGCCGGGTAGAACTGTTTCTCAATTTCTCCAACTTCAAAATTCTCCGTCATTTGAGGAACGAATAATGAGTGTCGTCATTGTAGTGGTTGACGTCATAATAGAACTGCATCTTGCAAAGCTCCCTTTCTTTAGGGGATTCTGTTTAATATTTGCCATGCCTCTCGTGTATGCGAGTAAAGTGTATAATGTAAACATATTGTGTCAATATATACAGCGACATATGTGACCCACCAGGAGAAAAGGGACGTTATGGGTGCTTGGATACAATTGTGTTGTGACGTCATAAAGAAAGACTAATGACGTCAACTGTACAAACATATCCTATTTCTCTCTCGTTAGTTCGTAATGTAATAAAACCATTTTAAAACATTTCAGCTTACACGTCTACTTTCAATTAGGTATATATTATATTTACAAACTGCAACCATTACATAAAGAAAATGAGTCCAGATGTTTAGGCCATGTATCCCAGTAATAAGTATGAATTAAAGCTTATGAATTGTATTTTATGGACCAAATACACCGTAGTTATAAAATATATTAAGAAGTCAAAATGTAATTCGTTAGCCATGAGGTGCCTTATCTCATGGTTGGTCATGTGTTTTGTTTGTACTCTGTCATCGGTATTTCTATAATTCCATGGACTAAAAACCCTACATGGAACTCTACCATCACCTTCTCTAACACTAACGAGTTCTTACTTACTTTTGGCATGGTAGAGATGACGAAACACGCCATGTCTTCAGTGTCGAGCTGGACCCGTGAAGATCCGGGTTAGAATAGGCCTTCAGCAACCCATGCTTGCCGTAAAAGGCGCTATGCTTGTCGTTAGAGGCGACTAACGGGATCGGGTGGTCAGTCTCGCTTACTTGGTTGATGAATGTCATCGTATCCAAAATGCGTGGATCGATACTCATGATGTCAATGACTGGATGTTTTGTCCAGATTCGATTATTTACAGACCGCCGTCATATAGCTGGAATATTGCTGAGGGCGCCGTTAAACAATAAGCAAATAAATGCAATTTAACAATTGAAACCTCTCGCTGCACGTTTGCTTCCAAATTCAACGCCCTCAAATCTACAGTTGGCTAAGCTCTAAATTGAAAACACATTATGTTTTTCGCCTAATTATCCATAATGAATCAACGGTGTCATATAGTCATGTATGTCTCTGTCTTCAGCGACTAACACCTCACCAACAAAATCAATATTTGGAATATATGCTACTCAAGTTTTGATAGGGATAATGAAATATGAATCCTTTAAGTTAAGTGTCAATTTGTAATCAAACAAGTAATCAGTCGCTCACGGAATATAAGATTATCCTTAGCAAATCCTAATGGTATAATGTGGCGCATGATGTTAGAACCTGCCTCTGACACCAACGGCGACGTTAGATTGTCTAATTCACAGTATCTCTTGAGAATTGACATCATACAAATAAGCGTATACGCCTATATTTTTTAGTCAATAGATCCATTTTCTAGGAAAACAGTTCTACGTGATTAGGCCTATCCGTCCAATTAAGTCATGTGACATGCATGATGGAATGCAGGCAAATATTTGTGCCTGAGAGGTCGTCTCCTAATTAGTATGCTGAGCTGGGTATAAAAACTCTCTGTCTGGCTGCCCATTGATGTGTTTTAATTACCAACACAACTTGTCCTTTGCGAACGAAATTGCACAGATATATCATTGGCAAAAAGTATATATCAAGCGTAATTTGACATTTCTACCAGGGGAAAGAAACTTTGCGTTTTTAATTCTGTAGAAGTTCCTGCATGTGGGAAAGTGATTTATTTATTTCTTCATCCAGACGTGCAGCCTCACCCCACTCCCCCATCACATCAGAATCACTGCTGTTTATCTGCCTCGCCTACAGTATTGAGCAAACTGACACACCTGTATGTTACCTACCTCAAGTGTTGCAACATCACAGTCCATGCACATTGCAGCAATCAAGAAGTGAATCAACTTTAAAAAGTATTTCGTATTGTAACAGCTCGATGTGTGCGTAAATAAGCGTTAAGTTAACATTGTAGACCGGGGATGGTTATACAAACTAAAGGTCTTCAGACACAACCAAATTCAAACAATATTTATTAAAAGATATACTTTAAACTAATAAATTGCATCATCGTGAAACGTTCCACATGTATCCCTATTAATATACATAATACAGTAAACTACGGTTATAACGAACTCAAGGGACTAATTTTAGTTCGTTAAATCTGTAGTACGTTATAAGCATGTATACAACATATAAACAGCAAATGTCGGGACAAAAAAAAAAGTTTGATATATCCGTCAGTTCGTTATAAGCGTGTTCGTTATAAACGAAGTTTACTGTATTATGTATCTTAATAGTATAATGGTTTGAAAATAGGTACAGTATGTTTACAAGGCACACTGAGAGATGTGAGTCGTGACGACATGGCTTCAGCACACACCCTTGCAGAACACAGGTGTTAGCTGTCATCACCTGGCTACTAACTGCGTGGTAGCCCCTGGTACTCGCTCGCGTACACGCTACACGGGGGGAGGGAGGGGATTCTTGCAACCACTTGAATTAAATCTCAACACGATTTGGTTGGTGTAGGTCCAGCCCATGGGGTCACAGAGTACACCCTTCTAGGAAAATATAACCTTCAGGGAAGAGGATAACTGATTCGTCATTGTTTTGAAGGGACTGTCAACATTTTTGGGGAAAGGATACAACGAAAAGTGTTGTTTTCCTGTTCTGTAATTATTCAAGGCAGAAATGGAAATAACCGGTTAGGTCATAGCTGCGTCAATTTAACCGATTTAAATTATGTTATTGCATTTCATAGTCAGTGAGTTAATGCTGTACGTCACATCGGCAATATTTCAACCATATCGTCATTTCACAGAGGGAACATACACGATTATAACTGTCTGTCTGCTTTTTCGAACACAAAAACAGTGAAATCCAGAAGTCCTTCATATTTGCACACATCATCGAATGCACATCTATTTATTTTTTTTTTGGTACTTTTCTTTTACGAAATAAATGCTATAATGCAGAATACGTAAGTTGATAATTGAAAATATATACATTGATTGGTTTTACATAAACCTGTGACGGCATCTGCTTGGTGTTTTGTCTATTGTGTACATGTGGATATGAAGAAGACACTAGGCCTGGGATCATGAAATATGTATTTCCATTCACGAATATTATTTACATGTCAAAATATTCCACCCGAAATAATATTTAAAGTAGAGCTAGGAATGTCTTTCCATCCCACAACATGGAGTATATGAGTCAATTTATCACCGATGGGATATGCTAAACAGGATATTCCTATCTGATACACTGTGTCTAAAACTTGCATTGATAGTGATGAAAGCTTCACGTGATTTGGTTACCTCCCTTGACAAACATTGGCGGCCATCATTTTCAAACTGTTAGTTGCCATGCAGTTGCGTCAATATTTAACTACTTGGCGATCTCATTCGTAATTATGAAAAAGCGAAATCGCTGTATAACGGAGACATTCTTAGTAAAGAAAGTATCTGTGGGTTGTAGACCGGTTTTCCAAAGACGAATATTTCTTAAGTGGGTGAAGTCTTTAATTGTCCTCTTTGCAAATACATCAATGTTAAACAAAACTACAAAATACTCTTTAGGAAACAAGTTTCATTGGATTGATGGGAAGAATGGGAACGAACTATAACACGTAACCAGGGATGGTCCAAAGGCGTTAAAGGCATATACTAATCGTCGACATGTATCTTATGGAAGGACTTTAAAGAATTCCTATCGTTATTGTCGAAGCCGCAGTGTAAGGAATTTGTCATGGCACAGGAGTACCATAAAAAGCGATACAAAATCTATAAAATCGACGAAGAGGTTTGTTATTTTATTCTTAACTAACTGCATTTCTTATCAAGTAAACTAATATTAATAACGCATGTTCGGCTAAGATTCGGATATTCAATCTATCTTTGTGTGATTTCATGTCTGGACAACACCGATGCTATTATTAAAGTGAGTGAGTTAAAGCTTTACGTCACATCGGCAATATTTCAGCCATATCGTGACGATATTATTAAATAGTATATGGTATTGAGTTTACGTCTAATGATCATGACGTCATTAAGGCAACTTTTTCCCGCGGTATAAATGACCAACAAGGAGGTGATTTCACAATCTGTATCCTCAGAAATCAAAATATAGGTTCCGCTGTTATATAATATGTCATTTATTATATCATGTAGAATGTTATATAATGAGGTATTTGTAAAACTTAAAATTTATTTTCGATTTTTTTGTTTCACCTGGACACATTTTGTTTTACAAACAGTTTGTGTCACCGTGAAATGTCATGATCTCTGTCATCCTCTCTTCTCCTTAAGTACAGAGGTAAGTTTCGCATGTTTGGTCAAATATGCCTTGGCGACGTTTCCATAGTGATCAGCAAATTTACCCTCCGGTAATGATTTACTGAGATTAAATCTACTCGACCCGCGTTCATCTGACCTTTTCCAGATGTACAGCTAAGTTTAATGTCACTGTTTGGAGTGTAATAGAACTTAACGCGTACGCCTGTGCAAACTTGCATATCCTTTATATTCCACCTGTGTTATTAATTAGAAGGTGTCTGGAATGTATTGACGGAGACGTTTGCAACCCTTCAAGCCAAAGTGTTACCCTGTGTTTAATTATCTAACGGTAAATGAAGTAGATGGTTAGGAAGAGAGCTGTCACTATGCACATGTCATGTTTGTAAACTTGTTAGAGAGGATGATGTCATTTTGACTTAATCTGTTACTATAATGGTGAATTATAGAAAATGCATGGTCAATATTCAACTTTAAATAAGTTTCAGATGATATTGTTTGGAAATTTATGATAAAAGACGATGTGTTATAGTCCATATATCCATGTAAATACCATAAGACCAGTGAAGATTCGGGTTAGATTAGGTCTTCAGCAACCCATGTTTGTCGTAAGATGCGGCTAACGGGATCGGGTGGTGGCATGCTGACTTGGGTGATACGTCATCGTATCCCAATGGCGTAGTTCGATGCCCATGATGTCAATCACTGGATTGTCTGGTCCAGACTCGATTATTTTCAGACAAATATTGCGGAGTGCGGCAATTCAAATGCAAAGGCTGTGTTGTATCATATATAATTACACACGATAGACTGGTGCCATATTACAGGGTATGAAAACATAATGAATATCATGCGGTAGATAAAAAACGGGTTTCATTTTGAAAACACACGTAAAATAATTATTAAAATAAACTTACTCCACTGTGGATGAAGCTTTAAATTCCCCCGCAATCTGCATACATATTAAGTAAATTGTTACTTCAAAATAGATGCAGAAGGTGGGCGGAGTTGTGGGTGGGCAATGTTATGATGACATGAAGGGTGCAGTTAGCAGTAATTGCAGGTAGGATACTTGTAAGTCAACACTTGGGTAGAAACGAACTTCTCTAAGATGTTTCGTAAGGACCAGGGTACGTTAACAGATCCTTCAGAATCTTGCAGTTGTTCTTGAAGTTTGTTTTATAAGGGAGTGCTTCTTTTCAAGACTACCCTACTGAATGATCGTGCTGGAACTAGTTTAATTACCCGTTGTCAATGGTTCACCTCTGAAGTCGCGCCAGGGGCTAGGTGCTTGGTTTGTGACGTCATGGTGTAAAGTCTGTGTAAACCGACACACGTGCAGTCTAGCCGAGTCGTGTTCCTCGTGTGGGTGAAGTAAACCTACACGGCCTGCCTACATGTTGAGGCAAGTAGTCCCGCACCACCTCCTCACACACACGGGGATTACTGAGCGGGGTGGACGATATATCTCTCTGACCACCATGGGTACGTTGTATGCAAAATGAAACCTAGAGTTCGTATATATTATCAATAACCTAAGAAATTCCAAATATTTTTTTCAGAATTAATCGTTATTGTTTAATATGAATTTGAAATCAAGACATCAAAGCGTACACTTATACATTCCGTTCAGTATGTCTTTGTACGAAATCAATTAAGTAAAGAAAAACACAAGTAAACACTGACTTAAGATGTAGGAGTGTTTATCATTGTGTTTAGGAAACAAAGACATACTTAAATAGATTTGATGTGATTTATTTTTCAGGGCTATATATAACTAATTCTTCTTATACTGTTACAAGGCATTGTTAATTAGCTTCTTCCACAAAGAAATGTCTTATGTTGTGTTGTCGTTGTTGTGGTAATGACGTGGCCACCGACAACGCTGTCGAGCTACCGTGGTCATGCTGCCCCATGCTGTTACTGCCTGAACAGTATTCACAAGGATTTATTTGTTTGTTTGTTTCTCAGAACTCGCTGGTGGATCTAATGACGCGGATGAACTCAACCCAGCCCCATTTTGTAAGGTGCGTGTCTTCGTTTAAACATAACGTCCTGATTTCGTGTGATTCATTCACACTTTGCCGTCTCATAGGACTAACAATATCGATGACGTCACAGTGAGACTGACGTAGGTGTAAACACGTTTGAGAAGTCGTTATATTCATCCGCTTGCCCCAGTGCCAGCGATGGCGCAAACTATCTCTTAAGGTAACGAGGAACATGCATTTGCTTATATTACCTTTAAGCTCATTACATATTCAGGTATTTCAGTCTTCTCTTACAATTGTACTTTGTTTAGTCTGTGTTAAATTAAATTAAGTTTTAATTAATTATATGCATTGGAAATATATTGGATTTTAATACGAATTATGTCGCTTTTATTTTACGTGGTTTCTTTTTACGGAAATGGCTTGTTGAAATCTTAACCATTATTACAGAGTGACAAGGGTGTACGTTTGTTTAACTACGTTTAACAACTTGTCACGTTAATTTTGTTCAATTATATTGTTGTTTATTTGATAAGTTGATATTATCCGTTATATCATCGATAATTAGATGAGAAAATAAGATATACGTTTTATTACAGTTACCCATATCCTCACTGGAGACATTTAAATGTTTATATTTAACAATTCGATTAAAGCATGCCGACTCGTATTTGTTTAAATTGATTTCTTCATTTTAGCACTTCCAGATTTCTAAAGCGTCTGGAGGTCATTGAGTGCATTCTTTAAACTTGATTTTCAATTGAGGAATTTATTTAAATACTCAAAATAGGACTTCACTGGTGAGAATCTTCCTTGACCTGCACCAATACTTTTTATAACAGTCATTTGTGTTATATTTCATTCCATCAGGGCAAGTTCAAACGTTATGTTACCTCTTAACATGTTTCGCATTGAAGTTACGTGTACTATTGTCCCGGAGATGCTCGTGTGAGAACCGGCCTACTAGGACAGCGTATACTGTTTACACTCAATGTTGTCCCTTAACCAAGGCTATCAGTTACGAGTTCACTGTTCAGATCCTTAAGAACATTGCCCAAGTTCACACACTTTGGTATGTACCAACGTATACTTCACATGGGCTCCATATACATAGGTAGAGAATATAGAGATAGATTATATGTAGTAATCTTCTGTTTTTCAGATGTATTAAACCCAACGATCAGAAATCCCCGGACAAGTTTCAAGTCGAGCAAGTATTCAGCCAACTTCGTTCAAACGGCGTTTTCGAGATATCACGTGTTCGACAAATGGGATATCCCCTCAGATTTGAATTCGACGAATTCATTGACAAGTAAGTATTTCAAAGATTCCCGTATACGTGTCTTCTATGAACTCTTAATCCATGAGTGGACGCTATACACAGGTTATATACACCGGGTGTATACTCGACTGTATTGTCATCCCTGGACTGTTTTAGGAAACAACCCAGTCTTTGAGAGATAACATTATTTGTTATTCGGGAAAGGGTTTTGACGAAAACAAATCAAACGAAGCCAACTACGCCATTAAGATCAAGGAAATTAGTAAGTTTACTTAAGAATTGACTTTCACTTTGTGTGAGTTCATTGAAGTATGAACCTTCATAGAGTGAGGGCCAAACTGTATGAACGTCGGAGCTTGCTACTTGTTTACATAGATTTATTGAAGTAAATTGTGTTGATGTGCGAATTAGTTGTGGGACACGGGTCGGTATTAATATTGATATACACTTTGAAGTCAGAAAAGACGTTAATCAAATGATTTTTTAGTTTTCTCTCTCCAGTGATGTATTATCTGCTTGTGTCATAAAATGTCTTCAGGAAGTTACCTGACATCGGGAATCTTCTGTAAACAACTAGTAATATTTCCAGGCTTCCATTTAGTGTAAACACGGATCTTAATCATGATCTGTGTTAAGAAAGGCAAACAATTTCATCACAGCGTATTGTGCTGCATTTAGAATTACTGTTACAATGCATCCACCTATAATGCGATTAGGAAGTTATATAAATCCCTCAAAACACAGAAAATTAATCCCAAATGCCGAAATTAAAATTCTATTTGACAAAATCAAACAGCCATTTGATAACAGACAAACGCAAGCCGCGATAACCCCATGCAGAGTTCGAATCTCGCTTGTCTCTATAATGCTGCCATTGTCCGAAGCTACGTGCTGGCGCTGCTGCCAAACTGCAGGGAGGTGTGAGATATCTGCTGGAGAATGTAGCACAGGTGGCTCGTACGGGTTTCCGTACTTCGACAGGACAACGGCGTCTTTGATTGCCTGTCTTTACCCATACCTTCATTCAGGATAACTTGAATGTCCTTGCAAGCTTGACAAAGAGTTATAAGTCATAAAGACATGTGTGACATATCTGACCGGAGTGCAGCAAGGGTCGCGACTTCTAGCAGGCTTGTTGTTTTTGGGGCACAGATATAATCCCTCGACACTCCAGCCATGCATTTTGACCATGTGTGCGGACATAAGTAGGATAGGAAGCGCCCTCCCTCTGTTTAAGTTAGGGCATCTTGAATTCACAGAAGGATAGGTAAATGCACACTGCGGAATGACCGCATATCCCCTTCATGTTGAGTCCTGATTTAGCACAGGAAAAGCGGGATAGGAATTGCAAAGAAGCATCGTTGTTTGAGTTGTAATGTATTGGCGTATGTTCTCATAACCTCCCCCACCACGATGTTGAAGTGCTATGTGACTCTGTGACGTCACCTCAAGTTCTGGGCGTCACAGGAAGTCAGCTTATAGAAACAGTACCTTTATATAGGTGCATCACTTGCTGTTAAAATCTTCATCTTGAATACTTCATGCAGGCTGTGACATAAGTCAGTCTCCCTTTCTCCAGTTTTCTTATAATGTAATGAGAAACTGGCGTGTGCCTTATTCTCTAAGTGTTCATCATATTTAGATTTGTGAATTGTAGGACATTTTCGTTCCAGCGTTACAGGTAAAGATTTACTCTTCTATATACACTGTGGATGAACATAACTTACTTGCTTCTAAGTGTTGAAATACATTATGTTTACTTCTTTGATTGAATTGTGTTTCTACTTGCATGGTTCATTCAAATTTTAATTTTAAAACCTTTATCTTTGTGTACTTTTATTTATGTGATATAACATAGTGACCTTTGACATACTGGCATTCAACACGTCCATGGTTTCTATGTTATATGTATTTTTATTGACACATATTTTGTATTTATTTACGTTTTTATACATGAATCTAGTTTACTGGAGACATTTCTACGCAAGGTATATGCATTGTGTGATGTCAGTATTGATGTGCTTGCAATTGCGTTTAAGGTACAAGTTCCTCGCATTCACTCCGTCGGACAATGTTGAAGCGACGAGGGAGAATTGCGGGCTCATAGCCAAAGTCTCTGGGTTAGAAGACTATCAGCTTGGTGATACGAAGGTAGGTGTCTTGCTCTTCTTGCCAATGTCCAGCTTATATTCCGACTAACGGATTGCTCAGGAATGTGTTACTATAGAAATAGCTGCAATTATGTTAATTACCCACTGTGCTTGTTGAGTGAATACATATCTAGTGTACACGTGATTCGTATTACCAGTTACCTGAGAACTGTTCCTATATATACAATATTTAGCTCGCTATGTCGTTTTGTTTTTAATAATTCTAATTCTTTTTGTGTGTGTGGCTATTATCATATCTCTTGATACACTTCTCACAACTGAGAATATACAGTCCCATGATTTCCCCAGCGTCTGTTTATATTGGAATTATGAAGGGGGAAATACCTCGGACACTTTGGCAAGTTTCCATCCAGGATGCTTTCTCTATGATGCCTCATTTTGCTGTGAAAACTTTGCTTTACTTGCCGCGACTATTACAACCAACACCCCAGTATATGACCTTCTATTACATGATTATACAACCAATACCCCAGTATATCACCTGCTATTACATGATTGTACAACCAATACCCCAGTATATCACCTTCTATTACATGATTGTACAACCAATACCCCAGTATATCACCTTCTATTACATGATTATACAATCAATACCCCAGTATATCACCTTCTATTACATGATTGTACAACCAATACCCCAGTATATCACTTTCTATTACATGATTTTACAACCAATACCCCAGTATATCACCTTCTATTACATGATTATACAACCAATACCCCAGTATATCACCTGCTATTACATGATTATACAACCAATACCCCAGTATATCACCTGCTATTACATGATTGTACAACCAATACCCCAGTATATCACCTTCTATTACATGATTGTACAACCAATACCCCAGTATATCACCTTCTATTACATGATTATACAACCAATAACCCAGTATATCACCTGCTATTACATGATTTTACAACCAATACCCCAGTGTATCACCTGCTATTACATGATTTTAAAACCAATACCCCAGTATATGACCTGCTATTACATGATTGTACAACCAACACCCCAGTATATCACCTGCTATTACATAATTTTACAACCAATACCCATGTATATCACCTGCTATTACATGATTGTACAACCAATACCCATGTATATCACCTGCTATTACATGATTGTAAATCAATACCTCACTATACCACATAACACTACATGTACAACCATTACCTCACAAAACCACACAACACTACATGTACAACCAAAACCCTTCTATACCATCTGCCAGTACATGTACAACCATTACCTCACAAAACCACCTGCCAGTACATGTACAACCATTACCTCACTATACCACCTGCCAGTACATGTACAACCAATACCTCACTATACCACCTGCCAGTACATGTACAACCATTACCTCACTATACCACCTGCCAGTACATGTACAACCATTACCTCACTATACCACCTGCCAGTACATGTACAACCATTACCTCACTATACCACCTGCCAGTACATGTACAACCATTACCTCACTATACCACCTGCCAGTACATGTACAACCATTACCTCACTATACCACCTGCCAGTACATGTACAACCATTACCTCACTATACCACCTGCCAGTACATGTACAACCATTACCTCACTATACCACCTGCCAAAACATGTACAACCAATACCTCTCTATACCACCTGCCAGTACATGTACAACCAATACCCTACTATACCACCAGCCAGTACATGTACAACCATTACCTCACTATACCACCAGCCAGTACATGTACAACCATTACCTCACTATACCACCTGCCAGTACATGTACAACCATTACCTCACTATACCACCTGCCAGTACATGTACAACCATTACCTCACTATACCACCTGCCAGTACATGTACAACCATTACCTCACTATACCACCTGCCAAAACATGTACAACCAATACCTCTCTATACCACCTGCCAGTACATGTACAACCAATACCCTACTATACCACCAGCCAGTACATGTACAACCATTACCTCACTATACCACCTGCCAGTACATGTACAACCATTACCTCACTATACCACCTGCCAGTACATGTACAACCATTACCTCACTATACCACCTGCCAGTACATGTACAACCATTACCTCACTATACCACCTGCCAGAACATGTACAACCATTACCTCACTATACCACCTGCCAAAACATGTACAACCAATACCTCTCTATACCACCTGCCAGTACATGTACAACCAATACCCTACTATACCACCTGCCAGTACATGTACAACCATTACCTCACTATACCACCTGCCAGTACATGTACAACCATTACCTCACTATACCACCTGCCAGTATATGTACAACCAATACCTCACTATACCACCTACTACTACATGTACAACCAATACCCTACTATACCACCTGCCAGTACATGTACAACCAATACCCCTACAACCTGAAACTGCAACTACGACTACAACCAATTCCCTTTCTCCTGCATTGTGCGTTATGTCCCGTAGAATGGATGAGTATATATTTAACGTCAAATCAGTCGTTTTGTTTACCAAAAAGTGATTATAACCCACGAAGTGACTCTCTCCAATGATATTTTTGGGATTGCACTTTCTTAGTAAAGAACAGATTCTAGTACTTTTGGGGGGTTGAGTTCTGTCCGGGATTCTAACGCACACTGCCAGAGTGAGGTACTTAATTGCCAGGACACAAAGTCAGCGATCAACCCACTCAGCCACCGAGGCTGCCACATGACGATGATGATGATGATGATGATGATGATGATGTATACAAATTAACCATGTCTGGCTGAACATCGAACTGTGTTGTTGCCGCTCTAGAAGTGTTGACTGTGAGAAGGCTGTGAACTAAACGTTACATGCTGGCTAAAATGACGTAATTCCGTGTTCCCATGGTGCTGTGAATCGTGTGTCGGAAGTGGGGGGTGGGGTGTGTTTTGCGGGGGGAGGGGGGGGGGGGGGGGGGAGTATGACACGAATCGCGGGATACTTCAAACACCCATCGCCTTGTTCCAATCCCATCCCAGGTAATTGTTCAACTTTATGCTTTCTTTAAAGGTTAATGTGTCACCGGGTATGCATGAATCCCAATTTCTTATACTTTATAATGTAATTTGTTTCGGCTCTTTGAAATTTGTAACACGACACAGAAATGACACACATGTACTCTTACATTTCGTTTATAATTGATTTTTAAGATTTTCACCTATTCGTCCCTAATCCAACACACTATAAACACGTATAATGTGTTGGATTGTCACATCGATGTGCCATTGATTGATGTGATGGTACATATTAGCCTAGAAGGGTACGGATAAGCTGTTTGTTTGACACATTCCCGAATCTTCTACCCAATCACCACGAACTCTGCCGCCACTGTAGTCTAGATACATGTCTGACAATCTTCTCATAGTTCTCACGTGTTTGAAGGTATGTCCTTGAAGACAACTGTACATTTCTCCCGGGAAGGTATTCCAGATACCAGACGAAACAATTAACAATAAATAATCAGCTCTGCTTCAGTGACATACTATGGATTCTGTAGACGTTTCGGTGGCATTTCTCGTTACGTGTGCGAGTAAGTAGGTTTCCGTCACCTTGAGAAGTTAAAACAAATGGCAGGACATAAATCGAATGTCCCCCTTCTTTACATACCCCTGGTCAGAGTTTGGGGACTTGGGACGGTGGCCAAAGACAGACTTAACACCTCGGTCAGTGTAATCAACAAGTGTGGGGAACGACAGATATTTCCTGGGTTTTGTCTATAAAGTTTAAGTCTCTAAACAAATCGATTCCAGTTGATTTGGCACATTCTTTAGCTCTATTTCACACCTTTGGGATGAAGGTTCTGCTTCGTCTGGAACGAAGAGCAAAGCTTTTGGTGTTCCACTTCTTTTATATAAAGTCAAAAAAAGGAACTCTAAAATGTCCGAATTAGCATCCTAAGAACAATGGTATTTTTTACATTTTAGACCTTGTTACCTTTGAAAAGGTTGACTTTCGGGTCTGATTATGACATACAACACTTACTGTCAAAATGTTATTGTCTTGCTAAACATTTCTGATCCCATCGGCAGTGCTTGTTATTTTTCGTATTTGCACACAAATTGGTTAACAGGGTATCCAATGTGTACATTGTATGCCAATGCACGTTGTACAAGATTGAAATACCTACCTTTTTAACTTTCAGCTGACTTCGTACAGTGTCAATCCCACGTTTATTTCAAATTTGAAGCTTTTAAAATAGTTTAAGAGCTTGGGACATTTCTAGTATTAGCAGTAGACTGTGGAATGCAGGTAATCAATTCCATGCCAGTGTTTTAATGATTGTCAGGGTGAGTGGGTTCATCTTGTTTCCGGCCTCTTCCACTCCGAGTAAAGTCGCAATAAGCAAGGCTAAATGAGGACCTGTTTTATGAAACAAGTTGATATTATAAACCTAAACCTTTCTTTAATGTTTATTCATCAAATTTTTTATAACCTTTTCAATACCTAAAACATTAATTCCGATTATGATGTTCAATATAGTAAAGTTTGTTTATAACTAGAACTGTTAACTCGTTACTTCGTAAAGACGATGCAACTTAATAATCCAGTACAGCCTCTTCAATACTACGGCTTACATCGACACTACAATGTCTCGAACTACTGATAACTCGATATATAGATGGACCACAGGATGTTGACATGAAAGAACCTGTATCGACTCCAGTATGGGTCTAATGCTCCCTTTCCTTCTTTCAGTGTTTTACCGCAGATGTTTTAATGGGTTTGTTCGTTCAGTTACGAATATCATTGCTTGCCTGGATATCACACATGTCGGTTACACGTTTAGACTATGAATATTCATTTGGCATTGTAGCAAATATTTCTCCTGTCACTGGGGATGATTTTTGACTGCGATACTTTCCGGCCAATGACCATAGTTAAATTAAATTATGATTGTAATGTTTTGATAAAGTCTTATTTTCAAGTGTATACCTTCTTTGCCCAGCAGTTTATATTGTATATATTCATACAAATAGTCCAGAAATAACGATCTAACTAACATATACCATCTAGATGCATATAGAATAGAATGATTATTTACACGTTTAAATATTATAAATTGAAATCTGTAATAATGACAGAACCCATTTTCTTAATAACCTGCTTAACATCATTTATCGACTTTACTTGGTTTTCTAATAATAATTTAAAGTACTCATTTCAGGAGTCACGTGATAAATCCCGTCATTATTTATCCAGATGCCTCCTGAACGGATCACAATCTCCAAATAGTTAACAAGATATTCTTGTCTCCAAAAAGTCACATGTTAATTCACCTAGAAATTATGCTCATATTTGAGACCGCTCTACAAACAGGAGTCCTACAAAGAGATAGTTTAGCGGCGTTTCTGAACTTGACTTTGTCTCGTGAAAATCGATGAAAACCTGACATCATTTAATGAATGCGGATAAATAGAAAGTGTGCTTCTCTTGCAATATTTCATGTTAAAATATCTTCAAAGAGGACTAATCAAGATTACAATTAGTTTAATCCCCAATTTCGGGAGTTAACCTATCTTCCTTTTAATTTAAAACCATGTCTGAATTCCTTAGGAACACTTATTTTGAGTCACACAATAAACAGAAACGATCCCTCAATATTACTTCATTCTGAGCGCTTCGTCTAAAAAAAAAATCTATACTTCTTTTTCTGGTGTAACATGCCTGAAGAAGCACTTACATTTACCCTGTTGTCACTGGTGTAACCGCTAAATCCTCTTCAAATACACTCTGAAATAAAAGTCGACATGACAAGAACACAATGTTCTTTCTATTCCCTCTTTTGTCAATATAGACATGCCTCTGTTTTCCCTATATAGTATCTCATGGTTCTACAAATAATGGTTTACATACAGTCAACATGTGTGCCCTATGTTGCAAAAAAGTGACAATGCTTCCCATGCATTGATCAACAATTCATGCAATACCTACACCCTGACACGGCCTGAACGACAGCATCGGATACATAACCATATTTATTTTTTAAAGCAAAAAATCGAAACGTGTCTTAAAAAAACTGACATAAAAACTTTGAAAGTCAATGAAAGACAGACTGTCAGATATGCAACAATGAGTCCTTTGGAAAATAACGTCTTAATCAAGAGACTTTTTCAAAAAGGCTAATTGAGATTTTAACAATGGAAACCGCGCTAAGTGCAAAAAGGACCATTGATAGACGCACGTATAGACAGTTCTCTAATTGGCTTAGGGATATTCACTTCTCTGCAGCTAATCTACAAAAAGGATCACGTGCCACCATGGCTACGCCATTGATGCTTTGAAGTCAAGGTCAATTAAAAAAATCGTTAACTCAAAAGAAAACATGTCTTTCAGAACACATTTCATATCTTAATGTTCAGAACAGTTTAGAACTTAATATGAGTAAAACATTTTGAAATCGTTTGTCACTTTATACTTTCTGTCTTTTGAGATGGGTTGGATTATGAAAGTACATGGTGTGTTGTTAGACTGACGGGCTTATTGCGGGTCAAGGTTACTGACTGCACATGTGGTGCACTTGTCAACACGTTTGTTGCGCCTTGGATCGAATCCATTAGTTTTAGCATAAGACTAATTAGCATAGTTTGACAGTGGCCATGAGTCACGTGACTCTAGCTAACATGCTCATCCATAGGATTAAAGAACATGTATGCACTCAGATTACCCAAAGAAAAACTATCTCCCCCATAAAATACAAGCTCGATCAAACGTATTTTAAGGTGTCAGTTATGCTGTCAATCATTGTTATGGCGTAAGCGTTATGAAGTTTGTTATGTGTTTTGACGAGGAGCGATAATACATGCCACACGACTTGTCAGGATATGTTGTGGATTATAGAAGAAGCGTCTTCTTGCTACCTACGTTCAAATAACCAATCAGAATCACTTGGACAGGAGACAAGTCATTACTCATTTCATCTCCGATAAATCAAGGCCACCAGTGTCTCCTTTCTTGGAGTTGTAGATGACGTTTTCCAGACATCATAAAAAGTCTTTGTTAATTACAAAGAGTGATCGCTTTCAAGGTCACAGTTGTTGGTAATTACAAAGATTGCCTTGAAGGTCTGTGGAATGGGGTTCAGTTGGCCTTTAAATAAAGACAAGCTCCTTTCCTCCTGCCAGAATTCTGGAAATATCAGAGATACCTGTCCCCTCCCTATGGGCCTCCACAAGTGTACGTTACATTCATTAATGGAGATGCAGTCCCTTACTGGCCGATAGCTCATCTACAACCTTGATGATAGTTTCTGGCAGGCTCTGTGGTACAAGACTTAACCTTCAACTTTTGGACTTGGGATGCTAATTGATACTGCTATCGAAGATATAAGCCACACTCTTTGTATAAACAGAACCATCCCTATGACCTGCCATCATTATAAACAGGGATCGAGGTGTTCCTGCGCATATGGATTGTAATTCGAGGCAACATCTATTGATCAGGATTCTCTGTAAAAATGGGAGGACAACATGTTTGCTTGCTGGAAATATGGCATTGAATTGGTGAAAAACTGACATCTTCAACAGAGCGCCAAGGTTTAAATTGTAAAAAGTGGTGTGTATATACGTGGATACATTGCAGGCAGGATCATTACAATATAGTCCTTCCTTTACCAGGTGGATGGATTTACCACTTGGCTAGCATAACTCGTGTTGTAAGTAATTGAGGGGCTATTTCAATAGTTTGTTACCTTAGTGGACTGTCACACTGTGTGTTGTTAAATGATTGTAAAAAACAACAATGGACACTGAATGTCTTTGAATTGAACAGATAAAGAATGGAAGGAATTTGTTAAGTATTCTTTTCTTAAAGATTTAACTCCTTTAATAATTGCTGCAAATTCATCTGGTGCCAACGTGACTGTCACTTTTTAGGTAGCCCTTTGTCCATCTGGATCAAATGTTTGGAGATACGACGTGGTACGGTGTTTGATTATGTGATTAATATAAATTAGAGGAAACTGGTGCATCTATCACTCACTGTTGTAAGACAGCAAGAGGCAACGTTGGAAGTCCTGCGATAACCATGTGTTTGTGTGGCAGGACTGTGCGTTCATTTGATTAGCATAGTACCTAACTGCAAACTGTTTTAATTATGACACTTTTTGTTTCTAAGTTTATTTGTAAATTGCAAAAGTGGTCGATACCGAAAGGACACCAACACACAAATCGCTCTCCCTCTGAGCATCCTATTCTTTTATCAGTTGAACCACCCCACCCAGACTTCTTGGCAGATGCAGCACCAAATCTGCCCCTCCCTCTGCAGTCTAGATAATCCACCCCCATCAGCTGCACAGTGCTGTCTCGTTACAGATCTTCCTCAAGCACGGCGACGAGGATCTCCTGAACACTCTTCTGCAGGAACTAGAGAGCAAGGTTGTGCTCATCCAGACCCAAGTCCGAGGATTCCTGGCAAGAAAATTCCACAAGACATTGTTGGCTCTCCGGAAAGAGAGGGCAATCATGGACGACTTCAACTTCGAGTCCACTCAGTTCAAACACAGGGACAATAACAACGAAAACCTCAAGCATAAAATCCACAATATCAACGATGATGATATTGATGTAAGTTACTTTCTTTTGTATTATTTCTCTCTTTTCTGCTCGTCTGTTTGATTATGGATGTGAATATGTTCTTTGTAAGTGATAATACATAAGTTAGGTAGAGTATATAAAATACAGCTTTTAAGCAATTTGAAGTATTCATCTGTGGGACAATTCTGCATATTTTTATTAATATGTATATGTCTAGGTATATGTTACTATAGATATCTCTGTTTTTATTGCCATTATAATCACAAATATTTGAAGGATATTCATAAAATAACGTACGTCTTATTTGTGTTATTTTCGATATCAGCTCGCAATCATTTATGACAACATATACCCAGTATACTGGTATTGATTGTATATCAATTAACTATAAAAGCATAGTAGTCTGTCATGGTGAATTCAGAACAAACCCCTGCTAACATATTGTCCTGAAAACAATATGGTTGCATGAAATCTGGTTTTACAAATGTTTGGTGTAATAATTCAAGAAACGTTTCAACACCGCCATACTGCTAAGTCTCTTGTCATGTTGTCCTCATTTCAAGTTCGCAGTATGATCATAAGTTCAAATACCCGGTCCATGCAAGCACGACGCATCAGTATATTCCCTGATCCCATAATCTAATAAAACAAGCCATTATGTATTGATGCATCTGACTCTGCATCAGATGTCTATTTGTTTTATGTCTCTCACTTTATATGTTGTTGAAAAAGATATGAAGAGGCATGCAGGTGTTGACAAAACGCAGTGATTCACGCTGTCATGAAATGTAGCACATCTCTGCCTCCGTCTCTGACTTCTGCCGACTATGCACATACATGCATTGGACGTTAGTCCCATATATGTCACAGAGCACCGGACATGCGCGGAATGTCGAGAGTGGGAATGCTGCGTGATCAAACTGAAAATGGCGACATTAAGACCTACCCTAACGGTTTTACTGCCAGAATGTCACCACTGTCTCATCGCGGCCATCATGACAATGTGGTTCTTAATGTTTGCAATATACCTTTACTTGTGAGTAACATGAACAGCGAATATGCCTTTCGGTGGGAGGCTTGGTGGTTTTGGCTCATGCTCTGAGGGTGTGGAGTTGTCGAAGCAACCTTGGCAATCTCTGAAGGATATAGTTGAAAAACGTTGTGTTGTATTGGAGGCCACAGGATACATAATCAATAGATATGTGAAACAAAGATTAAGAAGTCCGATCTTCATCGCTCCAAAAAATATTTTCTTTCGGGTTTTCCACGAAAGTACAGCTCAAAATAGGCTTTCGCCGTTACGTTTTGCTTAGTTAATCCAGAAAAAAACATTTTTTTTAAACTAAAGAAAAAGACAAGGACACTTCAGTTTTTAGGTCGAAGATTCATGCAATGGTAATATTTGTAAAGGCTTGACCATGCCTATTTGAGACTCTTTGAGACACAATCTTTCGTATAATTTTCACAGGACAAGAATCGTCATCAATTTAAATAAATATCGGTTTAAGTAAGATAATAAAGGAGGCAGCAGTGCCCCTTGTCCCATTCCTAACAAATTAAGACTTAGATAAAGTGCCTTTTGGCTTTTGGGATTAGGTATCGATGTAACCCAACGAATACAGAGAGGAGTGATTAAGAGTGAATTTCCAGGCATTTGGGGCTGTTTTTTTCGTGAGAATGTGGTAACAATACTCAGTCTCGGGTTACAAAGACTGGCAACGACATTGTCTGCGCAGCTGCCTACATTGGGCACGTCGTCAGCTGTACAGGGTTGTCTATCAGCGATCGACGGCTAGCTATTTGCAAGTGTTTCTATCTTCCGCTGTCGGCCCAGAACTTGGATTATCTCTCTCACAAAAAGCTCTCTCTCCCGGGACCAATATTTGTTGACAAACAACAAAATCACTAAACAACATTTGCATCGCGCAGCCATTGGTCGTGGCTACCTTCATGCTAGACACTCACTGGGGCTCAAACACTAGGAAAAATGTTCCAGTGCTTAGAACATTCCTTGCGCATGCGCAAGACTGTGTGAGACAAAGAAGGCCCCAGTGTCCTCAGCAAGCGGATTATTGTATTTTTCTGATTTGGGCTTACGTAATATTTACTCGGATGTGCAACACTTTTCGTTGTTCAGTGGTGATGATGCGACGCGGCCATCGGGCAGAGAGATAGGAATACACCCAGTCTATTGAATTACATCGGAACAGGCCTTAACCTTACGATGTACATCTCTGGAACTCTGGTCCCTCTCATACAATAGCAGTTCTCGCAGCCACTTCTGCCTCTCCCGTGACACTTCTCAGAGGATTTTACCACACTGGGTGGGATTATTTCGTAGCAGGAACTAAAGTGGTGGAACTAAAGCAACGTATTCCATTTTCTACAGATTATCAAGAACCTCAATCAGCCTTTATCACCCATCACCAGTAAAGATAGCGAGAAGCATGGTGATCGCCTCCCAGTGATGAGTTCCCCAGACAAGTTCGGTCCCTCGGACGTTGGGATCCTTTCCCAGGGCACCGATGATGACACGAGAAGGAGGAGACGGAGGAGAAAGAGGAATAATTCACAAAAGTCTTCAACAACAACGTCTGAAAGTACGGCGACGACTAATCTCTCTAGTCATCCGATTGTGGATGACTGCAAGTAAGTACTTGTTCAAAATATTAGTAATATGGAGGATCATGAAGTTCCCGTCAGCCGAAAACTGAAACATTTGATAAAAGTTACACTATCTTCAGTTTGGAATCTCGTCACTGATGTGTTCTTCCTTTAAAATTGAATGATGTAAAATTAAGTTTTACTTAAGGGAAGGTAATAATTCAGGGTTTTTCGAAAACAGCTCTTGTTCTTTTCTTTGAAATAATTTTGCTCTGCCCGCAGTTATTTTTCACTGATTGATTTTGGGATACAGTTTCAAATTAATGAGTTTCCCCTAATAAATTGAATTTGAACTTTATGTATGGTTAATGTGAGGTACTACTTCTTCCTTCAAGAACGTTTTTAGAGGTTTATTCGAGAAGGCTTTTTTCATTCTAAAATTCCAGTGTATCCGACATTTTGATTGTCGCCATTGCGGCTTGTATGGTTGACGTCATTTGTGTATTCATGACATCACTGAGCAAAGGATCATGGGGAATATGACATGTTTGCAAACTGTTAGATCATCACTGAACGATCATAAATATTTAATCCAAATATGTGCCATACATGTTGTACGAAACACATTATATATTTGTCATACATGTTGTACATTACACATAATATATGGGAATTTTATAAAAAGACATCAAAAAATGTTTTGTATCATTAGTACAAATAGCCAGTTGCTCTTTCTAATGAAATCCTGAAATAGAGTTTCATCAGAAGAAATGTACGTTGATTGAAGGCCATCGAGATGCTAATGACGCATCATCCGATTCAACCAGGTGTGGGGGATGGGGTAGTTTGCAATTGTAGGAACCCCTTCTTGTGCTTGTTTGGACAGGGATTTTCCTTAACGAGATAAACCCTTGGCTTTTGGTTACTTCAACTCCGTTTCTTGTCGCCTACATGACAGATCGGCCACCAACAGGCGTTTTGTAATTAACTCAATGGGCGGGCGATAGATCCTGAAAGAGCGCGCAATTTTTCAACTGTTCATGAAGTACACCTTTGTAGGTAAAGCTCGTGACATCTGCCAAATTCCACATCAGTTATCGATTTATAGCATCATGACTACTAGTCATGGCGCGAAGAACCAGAGGGGGAGGCAAAGGATGTAGAACCGGATTGCAGGGAAACAACCTGACTGTCCCCATCGTGTGTTGGTTCAATTGATTACTCAGTGACCTTAAACATACTGCCAACCCCCATTTCATTCCTAGCTTCAAACAATTCAAAGTCTTACCTTATGATAAAAAAAGTTTTAAAATTTCTTTCCTTTTTTACATATAAAACGTGAGAAAAGTTTTGTTCTGATCTTGATGGTATTGTATGTTGGCGAGTATGGGATTTCGCCTATAAGGGCAAACATCTTGGTGTTTGGAAATACGCAAATCCCCGAGTACCAACAGGAAGGAATCGATCGAGACATTACACACTAGAGAGGCATCCCGCTGCCCCCTCCCCCTTAACGCTTCCCCCCTACACCATTCCCAGAAGCCTTTGCGATATCCATTACAAAATGGAGGATGTCAACTAGAACGTACTGTTTCATGGATTTATGGAAATACTTACATCTTCTATTGGATTATGTATGTTATTTGAAATGATGATACCATGGCGTCTGACAGGTTAGTGAAATGTTTTATCTTGTTTTATAAATTTAAATTTTGCGCGGAGATAACTTTTGCGATTCTTCATATCCCGTGTCACGTCTGTACATGGCGTCCATTTTGAAAAATCTTTTACTGCCGGGAGTCAGGACCTGTTGTCTCGATGACTTCTCAAGTTTAATGAAGTGTCACACTTACATTAGTAGTACCATCCTTTACAATATGTATTGAACTTGTAAATATTAATTTGCTAACTTTGCCTTAACTAAAGGTAACCTATTAATCAATATTTCAGTCCGCCATTTTGTACCAATAACGATTCTGAACTTCAGTGAAGAAACAGATATTTCTCAGGATAACTATTTCTTAACAATTTCATGTGCCTACCTTCAAAGATGTTACCATTGTCAGATATGTCGGACGTTGTAGCTATTTTTCTATTTCACACATAATTACATATTTAATATGTATATTTGTCAAGTTAACTTTGACCAAACGGTTACCAAAATCGCTTTCTTCCAACGTCCAATTTTGTAGTTAGAACTATCAGGGGTTTGAACAAGCTCAATAATGAACCCAAAGTATTAAGACGTCTTGCGTGAACAAGTTCATTATTTGGTAACATCTAATTTATCTAGATTCAGTATGTACTTGCAAACTACGAACACATATCGCAATAACGCCACCACACGTTGTTTAAATAGGTGTTTTTGGTCTTTATAACTGTAAGAAACGAAGAATGTCTGAGAAATCAATACCTAAATTGAAAGTAACCCTTCAAAAGACAACTTCTAACATTTTACTCCAATTTTAGAAAAGTTTTTTCTTTTAAAGATATGCGCTTTAAGATGTGCGAATTGTACAATAGGCCACCAACACCGAGACTTGAGTGTGGGAAAGCAAACAGCAGTGCAAGTGATGATTTGAAAGAATGTCTGTGGTAGCAATGGCGGACTGTCCTAGCTCGCTACAGATTAGCTCCTTTGCACAATAGATACACTGGTAAACACACAGATTAAAACCCGCCAGCGTAGTGGCTGCTACATTACACGTGTGGGCATCACACGCCTGAAGAGGAAAAATGAAGACAGTCTCTCACTAGACACTTTTTGTATTTCAAGAACTTTACTGTCTGAACGTATTCTTAGGTAAACACATGACACAGCACAGTCTTAAGACTCTTCTCTTTAGTTAAATGCGTAGGCTTGACCACGCCCATTTCTTATTTCCCCAGTCAGGCATCCTACTGTGCCTTATAACATTTTTTTTTAAAACAGTTGCTTCAATGCTGAAAATTTGCATCAGATATTCTAAAGTATCTGTCAAGTCATTTACCTTTTTCTAGATTTGACTTCATCTATTGAACACTACATCCACCAGGACATTGACCTGAGAGTCCTTAGTCTGGAGATGCATGCCTTATCCACTGTGATGGAGAATATAGCTATTGTCATATAGTGGTTGAAAAATCTAAATGTAAATATAGTATGATGTTGCTTTAAAGACAGTCAGCAATGAATATTTGTATCTTCTCTTAAATCCAACTTAATATATAAATTGAGTTAGAGCTATTTTATTCATAATCTGCAATGGACCAAAATGGTTTCTTTAATTCCATCTGTTGTGCACATTCTTTGTGCTTCTGTTTGAACTGAAAGTACGTTTTGAGATTACGGTGAAAACGTTTTCATTTCCTAAGATGGCCGTCCGACTTGTATCTGATGGTGGCTATTTGCTGTGTCCAAGCTTTAAGATGCTGTGGCCAGTACTGTGTTTAACCCCACCAGCCCTTGTTGACTCGTCGGCTACCGCAACACCGCGATTAGTTATCGTGATAATAGTTTGAAATTTGCACCTCTTCTGTGGTATTTATTTTAGCGGAACATGCAGTGTTATTTTCCGTGCAAAGTTCAGAGAACAATTTGTGAAGCCTGACTCAATGTGAATTGCCATGCAAGGGAGGAATGCGAATACTGTAACTGTCTATAAAGAGAAGAGCGGCTAAACTGTTCCAAGTTGCTCAAGTTGTAAGAGAAGGTTCATTTCAGAATCAGACTTTACCCCATCGCGATTAGATGTGTGTAATGTTTACTTTTACCTTCCATTGTGTACTCGGTCTGCATCAAAATGTGAGAGCAGTGGGGGCCTAGTGGTTAAAGTGTTCCCTCGTGACACTGAAGACCTGGGTTCGATTCCTAACAGGAGTGAAATACGAGAAGCCCATTGTTGGTGTCTCCTGCTGTGATATATCTGGAATAAAGCTAAAAGTGGAATAGTGAGTGAATGAGTATGGTTTTACGCCGCTTTTAGGAATATTCCAGCAATATCACGGCGGGGGACACCAGAAATGAGCTTCACACATTGTACCCTTGTCGGGATTCGAACCCGGGTCTTCAGAGATACATTGAATCAACCTCACTGATTTGTTTGTTTGTTTGTTGTTTAACGCCGCACTCAGCAATATTCCAGCTATATGACGGCGGTCTGTAAGTAATTGAGTCTGGACCAGACAGTCAAGTCATTGACAACATGAGCATCGATCCGAACAATTGGGATCGATGACATGCATCAACCAAGTCAGCGAGCCTGACCACCCGATCCCGTTGGTCGCCTCTTTCGACAAGCATAGTCGCCTTTTACGGCAAGCATGGGTTGTTGAAGACCTATTCTATCCCGGATCTTCACGGGCCAGAGAGCTTTTGACGAGATCAATCACAACCTCTATGAGCCATTTTGACGCCCCAGAACACGATGCGTCAAGTAATGAAACGAAACATTTTAAACATGATTTAGTTTGATCGGTGCATTTTATATCTGTTTGCTCAATATACTGATGTTATGTGTGTTTATCTGTTTTTGTTTACTCAGTTGTTTGTGTTTGTGCACAGATCCCACCACTTGCCTTTCACGATCAAAGCCTCCTTAAGACAAGAGAGGTACAAGTCAGCACGTATAGAACCATAGTCTCACCCTAGTAGCAATAACATATATTCGTAGTATATTATATGAGATATATATCTTACCATTCTGTCGCCTTTATATATCTTCTTCTGAGTTTGTATCTACAGCTTTCCCTATATTCTGCTCATACATACACTTTGACGTATCGGGGCGATTGAGTAGCCTTGTGGTTCAAGCATTCGCTCATCATGCCGAAAACCCGGGTTCGATTCCCTACATAGGCACAATGTGTGAACCCATTTCTGTCCACCATCGTTAGTATTGTTGGAATAATGCTAAAAGCGACGCATAACTATACTCACTCACTCACTGACATCATGTCATTCATATTTTGTCATCAGTGGACCCTTTTTTTTTAAATTGACCCTTTAAGTTATCTAACCTGGAGTAAAAGCTGATTCTTAATCCCAGCACTACATACGAATATTGATTGGAAAGTCATCCTTTCCCAGTACTTGTCATCTTAGCGGAAGTATCAGCTCAAGTCAGTAGCAAGGCGATGCGTTTTCTTAAATTCAAAACGGCAGAGAATACTATCTCAGTCACTAGTGAGTGAGTGAGCTGGGTTTAACGCCTCCTTTAACATTATTCCAGTTACATCAGGGCGTGTCAGCTTAATGTGGGAGGAAAGCCCTAAGTTATGCAGGTCTCAGACGTTTACCTCTTCGGTGAAACCCACGAGCACGGATCTCAGTCACTACGTCAGTCGTCTCGTATATGGAATATATAGAAGTCCGTTAAAAATGATACGTATTACCGTATTCTTCTAAGTAAATGGATCGTTGTGTATATTCGGTGTCGACTGAGTGTTACAACGTCTTTAAAGTGATACTCCTATTTCTCAAATACCTCCACCACACTGTCCTTCTCATTAAATTCTCACCTCAGTAATATGTGAGGAGGATGTAAAAACCGTCTTGCGTCCCTAGGCAGCTTGGGTTGTATACTTCCCAGGGAGTTGAGAATGATAACCGAAATGCAAACGGATCCACTGATCGGGAAACAAATATAACCGCATTTGAGTAGATACTAGTGCCTGGATACCTGCGGTGTATACATATATATACGAATAAGTATAAGAATAATGATAAGAAGAAGAAGAAGAATTCTTTGGTGGGTGTCAGCACACGCCTTCGTTGCACCATTGGATCTCTCACGTCGCCAGTTTTCCCACACACTTCTTTACTTTTTGTTCCGCACTGCGGAGAAACGGTGATGTAATTAGCTGAGAATGTCTTCTTAATTCCATGCCTAACAATGTCCTACACGCCCTACCCTTGTTGTTATGGCAACTGAGTTCTGTCTCCACCGCCTCCTTGTTTGTTTGGCCCTCTCCTGATCTTAAGGCTTCAATCATTAAATCTTTTAATCCCCTGTTGAGGAATAAGACAGAGGCCAAGTTAGCTTAGGACTTGTGTTGTCTTTAAATACTTCTAAATGAGCCCATTCTCCTATCTATGCCAAAGAGAAACTGCATCCCTTACGGTAGGGACGCGATATGAATGCTCCAAGAGCGAGTATTATAAGGTAACTGTTCATTCTTGACTATTATCTATCATTATAAGTATCATCTTAAGGAACTCATAACCATCAAAACACACAAAACGTCTATTATTTGATACATGTTTATAAGGTGTGGAGACACAACGCCCGTTCATTAAGACACAAACTTATCTACCCATCTCTATGTCTTTCCTACTATCTTATTATGCTATGCCTTTTCTCTGTATAGGAATACATATATTCTCCGGCGCTAACTTTCTCTGCTTGACAATTTTTCTCTCTCTTAGCTCTACTAGTCTGACAGTTCCATAGTGTGTATGTCATCACCACATACCATACCTTATAGTTTCATATGTGTTTATGTTGATTAACCTTCCTGTTATGTGGAAGAACATCGAACAATAATGTACTCACACATTACTCAACATTGATTCCCTGTGCCCTAACATGTTGTTTCTAATATTACCTTAAAATAAAATACTAAATATGTCAATAATATACATACATTAAATATTATTTGTTACTTTAAATAATTATTGTTTCAAATGGAATTATTTTTACAAGTTAATTCTAGTTGTCTGATATTGTATTGTATTGTGTACGTTGAAATATGAAACAATTTGATGATATTTCAAAGATGTAACAATTTCTGTTTGTGTTTTCAGTTTTCAACCGTGGGATGTCTTTAAGACAGTATCTAGACGCAGTGAGACAATATATGAAACCACAACAAATTGGTTTGAAGTCGCTGCCAAAACTCTCAAAGTATTTGCGTACCTGTTCATATTCCTGTGTGTCCTGTCCAGTGCTCTGGCGAGCAAGGGTAGTCTACTGTTGATGACCCATGCTATAGGCAACACTAGCAAGGTAGGTGCAACTGGAAGCCTAGGTTAGCCCTAAAGTCATCACACCTTGACTTATATATCCATTAATTGTATTACATTATGCGAAATACTTTATGTCACGATTGTGAGTGACGATATAACTACATATTAATGTTACATTATGTAAGAGACAGTATATCAATGTTACATTATGTAAGTGACTACATATCAATGTTATTTTATGTAAGTGACTACATATCAATGTTACTTTATGTAAGTGACTACATATCAATGTTACATTATGTAAGAGACAGTATATCAATGTTACATTATGTAAGTGACTATATATCAATGTAAGAGACTATATATCAATGTTACTTCATGTAAGGGACTATATATCAATGTTACATTATATAAGAGACTATATATCAATGTTACTTCATGTAAGAGACTATATATATCAATGTTACATTATGTAAGAGACTATATATCATACTTCATGAATTCTCTATGCCTATGTTTATGTTCCAGGGCTGGGAGAACCGCGACCGATGGGTCTACACGGTGATAGCAGTAGTCAGTGTACCCTACCTAGTAACCTTCTTCGAATGTCTCTTCAAGTCTATGTTCGGCAATCTTCCCAGACCGTCCATTGGAAATATAGCATGGGTGAGTTTATCCGGGGTGGCCCGGTATGAAACATAAAGAAGACGAGATAGATCGCTCTGATTCTTTCACAATTAGCTGCACGGAGAACGGTTTTGTCACTGCGTTAGTCAGCGTGTATAATCACGCAACACTAAGAGCTAATCTGCAATGGTTTGATTAAAAACGGTTAAAGCGATATATGACACAGGAAGAGTACAAAATAATAATACTATATATAATGTTCTTCAACATTTTGAATGCATCTCTTCTTTATGATTTCATAATTCTTGTAAAGGTTAGAATTTCCTGTAATTCGTGAATCTTGGTTAAAGGAATTGACGATAATCATTCTAAATGAAGAGATAAAATATCAACGTCCCCTCCCAAAATTTAATGAGGTTAAAATAAGAGTGGTGATAAATACAAATTCCTTAGTGGTTGTACAACTGAATGTGGTATTATACAAATGGACTGATTTTATACTGTGCCTGATCATATATCCCGTAATACATTGATATTATTCCTTTAGAAATAACAATACTTTAGAATTTCCTAACAAGAACACATGTCATATTTGAAACATGAGTCAATCTCAACCATACTTTCTCGGAAGCTGACAATCGCAAACAATGTTCCGCTTTTTACATTTGTTTCAACATCTTCAGATCTTGTTCATGGAATCTCTCCACTCCTTTGGGCTGAGCCTGCTGCTGTTCCGAGTGTTGCCTTGTCTGGACACAGTCCGATGTCTCCTTCTGATGAACGCCCTCTGCACAATGCCCGCCATCCTCAGACTGTTCGCCACCAAGCGTTCCGAGGACAACCGCCGGAAGGTAACCACCATCATCCTGGACTTCTTGGCCGTGCTCATGCAGCTGTCAGCCTTCGTCATAGTTCTCGCCTCAATGAAGTCTGAATGTGTGAAGGAAACAGAAGTGGAAGATGATGCTCTGGAGCTGAACACACCGACAACCAAATATGAAGCACCAAAAAGTTTGCCCCAGACTGGTGATTCACCCTGGTCCTCGACCTACGCTCTGTCCGACATGTCCTGGGAGATCCCTCTGGCCCTTCTGCTCCTCTCTACCAACTGGTGGGAGAACTTCGTGGACAAGGACGTCCGGATCGGATGTCTAGAGATCCCGGTCAAGGACTACAAGGATACACTCCATCGTGTCCGGGTCAAGTCCTACCTGGTGGCAAGTCTCTGGAAAGTTGGTCTCACCTTTGGTTTCGCTTTCCTCCTTATCCCCAATCTCAGTATGGTCCATATCGCCTTTGGCTCTCTGTTTGAAACGAACGGCGAGGTCATTAAGTCCAACGGCAGCACCGTCACTACCACCATGATGCCGATACAAGCTACAACAGAGCCACCTTTTTCTAATTCTCTGACCGACCAACCAGGTGGACTCTCCAAGGGTGGAAATGAACAAGAACACTTCATGTTACTGGAACACTCCAACTGCTCTTTCCAAAACAAATCCATGGGTTCTCTCAACGAAACCGTCTGCGATAACATATACGTTGACCCCTGGAGTCAATGGTGGACATACATGCCTCTTCTCTTACAAATCGTCTCAACGGGGCTGTGCTACTACTTTGCTCGACTGGCGTGTAAGCTATGCATGCAGAGGTTCTCGTTCGCTATACCACTGAGTCTTGCCACCCCGGTATCAGTGGCTACAATCATTACTGTGTGTTACCTAAAACCCGAGAAGACTGAACTGATCAAAGGCTTCTTGACGTTCGCCTGTACAGGGCATGGTCCGGAGAGAAAATGGTTGATATGGCACCTTGGATTAGGTTTTGGTCTTTGGTGGGCCTCGCAGCTGTGGATCACAAGATACATCTGGACTCCCAAAGCCCCGAGACTGGCATTTACGGAAAGGTAATCAGTCATAATCACATATAAAAATTGCAAAATGTGAAATATCATTCAAACAATTAAAGATTCATCTATTTCTTTACCTGCATGTATTTGTGTCGATATACAATAATGGTAACACTGGCCATCTCTTTGAGCAAGTGACTTTTTTCGAAATGTGCCTCTGTTCACCCAGCAGTGAATGGGTACCCGGTAGGGTGAGATGGCAATGTGGTTGTTAACCTTCTAACGCCTAACAGGCAGCTTGGGTTGTATACTCCACAGGGAGCTGAGAATGATCTTGAGTGCACACTGATTTAGTGACCTAGGTTATTATACAGTGGTGTGGAAATATGAGCAATATATATGGGCTTATACTATAACACTCACAAATATGTTTGATTTTTTAAATCAGGTAATGATATTAAAGATATAAAAAAAATATTCGCTGCTCTAACCCCACATGGTTTTCTGCAGATTGTTCATCCTGCCTATGTACTGTGGCGCCCTCATTGAGCAGTCGCTGCTGCTGAACCGGCGCCGGAACGACAAGGAACGTATCCTGAAGGAGATGGCGTTCAACGACGACGCCTCCATGGACAGCAACTCAACTGACGCCATGCGGAAACAACGTGAACAGATCGTTCCCAAGATATACGTGTGCGCTACAATGTGGCACGAAACTGAGAACGAAATGACACAGCTCCTCAAATCCTTATTCAGGTATACATTACGATCCAAATTACAAATATAAGAATGTTGAGCATGTTGATTTAACATATAAAACGCCAACGGCAAACAATAACCAGTCTCGGTTATCCCACGAAAAAAATCCATTGCGCGCGAAAGGCAAAATAGCCGTGAAAATCATATAAATGGATCACTGACAATCAGTGATGACGCCAGGTGTTCGCGAACCAAGTAAGCATGTCCTCTACCCTACCCAAGAGGTACTGGACCTTCTCAGCTTCAATAACCAAAAAGGTCAATCAGTTTATTGAAACACAAAAAATACGAGTTGGCATGATATTCGCTAAACGGCCAGTATTTGAATTTAACTTGAATCATGGGGATTCGATCACATTTTGTCATCTCCTTGTTGAATTTATCATTCTTGTTTCCACTAATCCCAAAGTGGATGTCAACCCGATTCAAAACTTATAAACTTTGGCACACATAAAACCATCACAGTTATGTTATTTTTAGCGTTGGTTTGACATTACCAATGCCAATAATGGCAGATTATCTGCCGCTTTCAGAATCATCCCTAGCTGCATCACTACTGATGGGGTTGTAAGATGTGACGCTGTGTAGGAGATACCGTTATTTATCCCTGACTTACCCGAGACACGTGAGACGGATCACATGAGTCTCTGCTTTGTATTTCTAAGAATTCCCTTTAACACTCCAGATTATGATGACAGTGTCAGAACGCTGTGTCTCCTCTTCAAATAAACTTATTACTCTTGGTGCCAACACAAACATAACATTGCCCCTTACACTGAAACCCAGAGTTTTGTGTAGACTTCCACAAGCTGGGGAGTTCAAAAAAGGTACCCTGACTCCAATCCGTTTGCAAAGGTCATAATTCCAGAGTGAACTAGTCATTTTATCTTGATGCTTCATTGGCAATTTTGCAGCTACTATAAGCAGCAGCATTCCTGGTATCAAGTCAAACATTTCCCACAGAAACCAACCTGAACAAGAGTACCAGGTTCAAATATTGGAGCCAATAACTATACCACTCAACATACGTTAAGGACTACCGGATTCCTTCGTATTACAAAAGTGAATCTGTTGTTAGATGACAAGATAACTCTTGTAATAAGAAATAATCGAGTTGTCCTTAACTTCTTGTGAGTAGTTTATGTGTTGAATATATTTGTATGTATAAAGATAATTTATTTATTATCTGTACTTTATACACTGTCAGATACATCTCTCCTCCGACATCAGTATGCAAATACTTAACAAGAACACAATGGAGGCACATCAATTGTTTATTCTCGCGCTCCTGTTTAATGTTTTTACACTCTCTGTTTAATACGAGTTCTGTGTACTGCCTTATTTGTTTCTGTTTCTGAATATGAAATGTTTACAGAGGACACTTGGGACACAATGAAATACAGGCGACAGAAACTTTAATCATAAAACTCTGGTGCAAAGTCCTTTGTACTATTCCGACTATAACAAAAGCCTTTGTTCATGAATCACTATTATGATCAAAATCATGAATTCATACAGTTGTGTATGTAATGTCGTCCCCTCTGTACTCGTAAATAATAACTTGCTAATTTATGTAACCAACAACTTCTAAGTAGACCACAGTTTTCACTTCAGATTGCATAAGACTTTACATCGGACGTTTCTTTGTGTTAATGAGTTCTTCAAATGTCATCATTACCATGTATGTTGGTCGTGTTTCAGACTTGATATCGACCAGAGTGCTCGCCGTAATGCTCAGGACTACTTCAACGTTCAAGATCCGGATTATTATGAATTTGAAGGTTTGTACAATTCACAAACCCAGTTCGTGTTTCACTGGTATACTTTCTTATGCGTGAATGAGGGCAGGTTATGTTACGCAATAACCATCAATATTCAAAATATTTGACAGTGACTCTTTTAAACTGAGTCTGGGTCATGCCAACGAGTGGGTGATGGCATGAACAGCATTCATGCCGTCAGGGCACGATGACACACAATCTGCCAGGTAACCTCGTTTCCTACAATTGGATCTGCTCTAGCAATGGGAATCGGGTCATGGTTACCTATTCTGCTCTGGAAATCCCAGATGTTACTATTGTATTACCCAGTTGTTGATTGACAGCTAGATTATGTAGATGTTCCTTAATATGAACCTAGAGTAACGTTTCAGTAAACGACACTTAAACTGCAGGGCAAACGAAAGAAGACACCCATGCTTGAGAGCAGTTAAACAATGAAACAAACAAGAAAGGGTTATTCGTATTTGATACAATATCACAGTTGTGGTTTGGACCTTTAAGTTTGCAGTATTTCGGCGACTGTTTTCAGCCTTGTCACGTTATGATTAAGTTTCTAAAATAATTTGTCAATGCCGATTTTTAAGTGTGTGCTTTCGTATTCCAGGCAGATATTTGTAGTTTACTGAAACAATAATTCCTATTTTTCTACCTTCATTATAGCTAGAATTTGAAATTTCAATTTGACATTCCATATTTCTTATGTCGTGTTCGTGGACGTTGCATATCCATACATCATAACGTTCGAAGCGGATAACGTTACGCCATGTTATTTCACAATATATAAAAAATCATTTTAAATTTGCTTTGTAAGTTGTGCTAATTTTCGAATCGAAACAGTCTATTTCGAGCTGTTGAATTACACCCATGGAGTATGGCTGTGGCAATATTTGGCATTGCCTAATTCTGTGAGGTAACTGACATACTCCCAGACTCTGTAGCATAGATCTCCGCATCCATAGCCTCACATGCCCCGACTTGTTAAGTCAATATGAGCCTAATTGATCACGCACAGTAAGGCATTAACACAACAAGCAAGGGTAAAGTAAGATTGTTTCTAAAGGGGGATGTATTCTTGAGGCATATATAACCTTAATTATGAACTTTGAAGAATACAGTAAATATATGATTTCCCACACCAACCTGTTATTATCACAATGTATTGGAAAGATGGTTAAATACTTTTGCACGTTTGGTAAATATAAAATCCAATGCCAGAGAATAACCAGTCTCGATTATCCACCGAAAGAGATTCCATTGGGCGTAAAATGCAGAATAACGGTGAAAATTATATGAATTGGTCGTGTAAATCCGTGATAACACCTGGTGTCCTGGTTGTGGCCTGATGATGCCTACCAATATCGGGTTAATATAATGACATAATAACAGTGTCTCCGTATGTCACGGAGTTAATGACAGTGCCCAGTATCACAGGGATTGAGAAACAATATTGCAATATCACACAGAAATAACGACAACTCCTCAGTATCACACATGATTATTGACAATATGTCATCATTGATATTTCAGCGCATATCTTCGTTGATGACGCCATGGATTACAACGACAACGATGAGTGGATGCCAAACATGTTCGCCAGACAACTCGTCGACTCCATTGATTGGGCAGCAAGGTAGGTCACGTGGTAGAGTAGCATCAGTATTACATAGAAATAACACGTACATTATATTAGGTTTCACCTGCTGGCAGTGAAACCTCGCTAAACCGGATGTCAGTTGTCCGTATTAATAAGGGGCAGTGATTAAGTAACACCCTATAGCAAACACTTACGTTACTTTTACTTTCGATTTATTATATTACATGTTAACAGAGAGACAATGTTTCTTAACTTTTATTACATTCCGCTATGTTTGGTTACGTAAACGCAATTTTGACCATTGCGGATATGCAATTGATACGCTGAATTAAAGGACTATATATTTAATACACCAAACCAGTTTTGTTATTAAATAGATTTTATACGCGTATGTGCCATCACCTCTCCCATGATCAAAGAAGAACTGTAAAAGTTGTTGAATGAATTTCCTAGGCAGGGGAAATAATACTCTCACTCACAAATACCTAACACAACACTACATTTGTCGATGTAGCCGGGAAGACGGTAGCAAAGTTTATCATGGTCATTTTAGAAACTTTCAAACCCTTTAAAACAAAATGAAATCATTTCTGTCCTGATTTACGGTAAGTTCAACTTAAGCCCTCAAGGCGATCGAGAATCCCAGATTTCATGACACTGAGAGATCACAGAAAAATGTGTTTTTCACAGCAAAGCACATCTGTGCCATCTAGGTGTAGCGATACAGCCTGCGTGTAGATAGTTAAGTCTTGACACACACGCTAGGATCCCAGTAACCTAGAGACAAGGGGAGCCTCAGACTCCGAGCTTCAGTCGACGGCGCATCCATCGTCCTGCCTTCATCGTTCTGTTTACGAACTAGGCGGACCGGTGTATAACGCTACAAAGAGAATGATGTGTAATGTAAATAAATCCCAGGCAAACAAAACTGTAGGCTATTTGTTCGGCAGGCTGCGAGTAACTGATGGCTTTGTCAGTTTCGTTTATTTTAGGGGCAGATGAGTGCTAGCACTAGGGTCTTTGATTGCCGTTATGTCTTGCAAGCAGCTAGTACGCCCTTGAACGCGTTATAAAGCATTGGAAGCCTCAACCTGCCAAGGCAAAATTCTTTTGATACTGAAATTTCTATATTTTCCGAATATCTTTGATAGTCAGAACACCAATTCAATATTTAGAAACGAGATACTAGATTTGAAGAGTTTACATTAATTTGAAAGTGTACATTGAAGTCACGATTTGTTAACTGTCAAATTTCTTCATTTTTCCAACTTGAAACCAGTGTAGGTGTTTTGTATAGAAACTAACTCAAGTTCAGTATTACGTTTGTTTAGTTTAAAGTAGATAACTGTAAACTGTTCTTGAGAGGGATATGCAAACATCATCTGCGTTCGACATTGTAGACGTGTTCATGTAACGTCAGCAGAGGATATAATGAGAGGAGAAATTGAAGTAAAATAATCTCAGATATCTAAAGCTGTTTTCTAGACTTATATAAATGATGACATTTACGTCACCGGGTCACTTTGACATTGATACCAGACACACTGAATGAAATTCACCTACCTTCAACACCAGACACTCAAAGTTTTGCTTAACGAAAATGGGACTGTAATTTGTTAATTAAATCTCAAATATAATATCTAAGTTGAATTTATTTAATTAATTAATTATAGTGGACGTGTTCACACTTTACTGAAAATGATAGTCTGATAAAAGTTGGATCAATACACTTTCTCCGGAGAGTCGTCGTCAGATTTATAGCCAAGGTGACTAATATGACAATGACGAGTTTTATGTTGTGTGAGAAGTGTATACCAAAGTAAGTAGTCAGACTCTAGTCAATAGAGCATCTCTTTTTTGGTGTTTCTCCTTGACAAATATTTGGCAATGACCATGTGGCGGTCTGAAAAGGATTTATCAAAGCAAACAAACACAACCCTGGTGATGCGACAAGGGTTTTATCTTGAATATTTTGACTTCAATGCTTCACACGACCTCTCGTACTTCGGATTCTAGGCCATTGTGGGCTGGCCTCTGGATTTGTTAGAATAAATAGGATGGTAATACTTTTCTGCTTTAAGGCAATTGAAACATCCAAAGAGAGACAAACTATGAATAAGACATCCTTATTTAGCTTGATAACGGTAAAAAGCAACAAAGACAATGTTTTATAGCTTTGAAATAATAATAATAATAACGCCTGACTATGATCTTTGCTGCATATTTATTTGATCTGCACTAACTACTACTACTGCTACTACTACTACTACTCCTACTACTAATACTACTACTACTACTACTACTAATAATAATAATAATAATAATAAAAATAATAATAATAATAATAAAAATAATTTATTGTCAATAAAACAGGACTTAAGCTGCAGCCTCTAGGACGATCTGATCAAACAATGCCCTACTATAATATCATGCGATCACAATTCTGCCAGATGTTTCCGGTAAACACGTTGAATTAATTAAACTATATTTTAGTTCACATAAAGCACTAACTAAAATGCTCTCGACATGGAATGCCAATGACTTGTGGGTAACGCCCTCGTGTTTGATGATGTAGAATAGGAAAAAGATAAAATTAATTCAGCACCGATGTCGACTCGGTCAGATGTACAGTTATGTGATACGCACTAGGTAGATTAACCCGTGTTTGTACAGGAGAAATCTGTCGATGTTTCAACTATCTTAACCGTTCTTTTGACCCCTGATCGTTTCGCTGCCATTTTTTGCAAGTGGACATTTTAACCCCAGTTTTGTGTGAGACGAGTAAACACGCTTCAACAGTAGCCAGGGACAAGAATGTCCCCGATCGAACATGGAGGCAAGGAGCGCCATCTGGTTTGTTATGACTAAATATTTGATAGGGAAAGAAAACATTTGATTGCAAATTTTCACGCCTTGGATCGAAAGATTTTTTTCAAAATACCTCTTGGCCGAGCCAGGTGCTGGAGAATTCTTTCATGTGACGTCACACCCCTGTGCTTCGCGACGGGCCATTGTTTGAGGTTAGAGTGAAACCTCCGATCATATTTGTCGTCTTGTGAATCATTCGGGATGAATCTTTGTCCGATGGTTAATTGTCCTGGAAGAATGTTTCAGACGGCCAGGAATGAGGTTTTTAACCCCCCGACCTTTGTATGAAAGGAGTTTGATTTTTGAAGTATTCAATTAGTGTGTTGTCAAAGTCGGTATTACGTTATGCCAATACTGACAGACACGTTTAGCATAATGCAAACATGCTGACACCGAGAGTGACTGCTACGTCGTAATGATGGACACAATCTGTATCTGGCTATATTGTGGTTATGAAAAAGGAAACAGGAGAAAGGGACATCGAAATGCGTACTTTGCTGGATTAAAGGAAGACGGCAGACCCTCAATATAGAATCATGATAAAACGTAACGCGTTTAGTAGGGCGGTTGCCTAGCGTTGGTTCATCACGCCGAAGACCCGGGTTTGATTCCCCACATGGGTACAATGTATGAAGCCCGTTTTTGTTGTCCCCCGCCGTGATATTGTTGGAATATTGCTAAAAGCGGCGTAAAACCATACTCACTCACTTGTTCAGGCGTTCGGTAGCTATTTTAAGACAAACAGCCTGATATTGGGTCCTGTAATATGGCAGTGATGTGACGCAAGACATGGCCACACGAATAGGCCCAGCATTAACATCGTAGGTGACATAGATAGGGATAAATAAACACATGAACACAAATATACAGAAACAGAGAAAAACTTGTGATGCCCAATTCTCTGATTCGAATAAAATATGGGAACAGCTATATTGTGTCAAAAGTGAAATGGGAGAGGTCAAATGGTCATATTACCCCCTGTAAGCAGTATTTACGGTAATAGAAATAGGTTATAGGGCCTATTACACCCTGCGCAGTATTTACGGTAATAGAAATAGGTAATAGGACCTATTACACCCTGAGCAGTATTTACGGTTATAGAAATAGGTAATAGGGCCTATTACCCCCTGAGCAGTATTTACGGTAATAGAAATAGGTTATAGGACCTATTACCCCCTGAGCAGTATTTACGGTAATAGAAATAGGTAATAGGACATATTACCCCCTGAGCAGTATTTGCGGTAATAGAAATAAGTAATAGGACCTATTACCCCCTGAGCAGTATTTACGGTAATAGAAATAGGTAATAGGGCCTATTACCCCCTGAGCAGTATTTGCGGTAATAAAAATAGGTAATAGGACCTATTACCCCCTGAGCAGTATTTACGGTAATAGAAATAGGTAATAGGACCTATTACCCCCTGAGCAGTATTTACGGTAATAGAAATAGGTAATAGTGCCTAATACCCCCTGAGCAGTATTTACGGTAATAGAAATAGGTAATAGGACCTATTACCCCCTGAGCAGTATTTACGGTAATAGAAATAGGTAATAGTGCCTAATACCCCCTGAGCAGTATTTACGGTAATAGAAATAGAATATAGGACCTTTTACCCCCTGAGCAGTATTTACGGTAATAGAAATAGGTAATAGGACCTTTATGTGCTTTTATCGTACGTAAGAAACCACTGCTATAAGCAGAGTCGATTGAAAAGAGTTCCCATAGACTAAAGCAAAGACGGTGTACCACTGAGTCTCACAGCATGAAAGTGGTGCTTATTCCGTTAAATGTATATATTCGATTTTCAATACATGAAGATTATTACATTAGATATTATACTAAACATACCTATGCTTGGTTTCAGTCAAATTCACGAATCTGAGATCAAGTTGATGCCCCCTGTGAAGATCCCAACCCCCTACGGCGGCCGTCTCGTGTGGACCCTCCCAGGAGGGAACCTGTTGATTGCCCACTTCAAGGACCGACTGAAGATCAGGCACAAGAAGAGATGGTCACAGGTGCGCAGCAAATAACGCTGAACTGCGAGACTATTTAGTCTGAAATGAACTGTTACTTATTAGTATACAGGCACCGATAACACGATTGTAACGAAGTGAGGATGAGAAACTTGCATGATAACGGTGTCAGAGCCAACACCGAAACGTCGCTCCTAACTGCAATAAAGAAGTTGTTCAACCATATATCTTATCCTTACTTAGTATTCCAACTTCTAAATGTCTCTCAAAGAAAAGAATGTATCCAACAAAAACACATATAAAAATTGCCAATTGTCTAAATTCAAAGAACATTAACTTGTATAAGAAACGGTCACTTTAAACTTTATATGTTTTAATAACACTTTGCTTCCCACAAGTTGTGAAACCTACCCGTGTGTCTTGTTCTAATGTATGTGTCCATCCTTGCAGGTCATGTACATGTACTATCTCCTTGGTTACCGTCTCCTGGGACAACAAGACGATCTCCACGGAAGCAGCTCAACTCTGGAACGAGAAGAGAAATGGAGAAACTCGGCCAGCCATTTTGTCAAAGGAAACCTGTTCAAGTACATCCCCGAGAAAGTCCTAGTACAGGTAAGAGGGCGTGGTCATATTCGGGCACTATCACTTATCACATGACACATGACAAAAACTAAAACCCCGTTATTACGGACTCTGTTCAATCGGAACACTGGCTTTCCCGGTGATCACTTCTAGCAAGGTCTACATACATTGAAAAGAATCACTAATTAAAATGATTGAACATTATACGATTTCACGATTTCAACAGGATGTCACTGCATGACAAATTGATATATTGTATATTCCAAAAACATGTTCAAAATCTTACAAATTATTACAAAACGTCCTAAAATGAATGAGACCCGTGAAACCCATGCTTGTCTTAAGAGGCGACTAACTGGATCGAAGTGGTCAGGCTCGCTGATTTGGTTGATGCATGTCATCGCATCCCAATTGCGGGGATCGATGCTCATGATATCAATCACCGGATTGTCTGGTCCAGACTCGATTATGTACAGATCGCCGTCGTATAGCTGGAATATTGCTGAATGCGGTGGTAAACAACAAACAAACAAACTTAAAATGGATGAGGGTGACCATTGTAAGCTAACACGTTTGTTTTTTTCTGATGGCAGGCTGAGAATACATTCATACTGGCCCTTGACGGAGATGTGGACTTCAAACCCGGTGCTGTACAGCTGCTTGTGGACAGGATGAGGAAGAGCAAGAAAGTTGGAGCTGCCTGCGGACGAATCCACCCCATCGGATCAGGTATGTGCTACCCACCCTATTATCACTCATCCCTTACCTGTGATGCTCGAAACAAGCTCAACCTTTCTCTAAAACTTACACGAAACGTTTGGATTACACACGCCATAGGCTGAAGCTCTTCCTTGAATGATTTAATAAAGTAGCTCTTCCTTGAGGGATTTAATAAGGTATACAGATGCTGTTATTTTCTTGTGGCAGTGTGAATAACATGATATGTTTCTTCGCAGGCCCTATGGTTTGGTACCAGATTTTCGAGTACGCTGTTGGTCATTGGCTTCAAAAGGCTGCTGAGCATATGTTGGGGTGCGTTCTGTGTTCACCTGGGTGCTTCAGTTTGTTCCGTGGATCTGCTCTGATGGACGACAACGTAATGAGGACCTATGCTACCCGCTCCAGTGAGGCCAGACACTACCTGCAGTACGATCAGGGTATGTACATATGTCACACGTACACCTCGAAATTATCCCAATGATCTCCTTTGTGTAAAAGTAAAGTAATCATTGACCACATGATCTGTGTAGAAACACCTCTGGGCCATCCATCTTTAGAGCATCAATTCGCAAGTTTGGTCCTTACTGTGCCAGAATCCTTTGCTAGTCGGTTCGAATCTCAGATTGGCCTTGATTATTACTCTTGGTTTGTCATGGATTTCCCCAAAGTGTTAAACTTCAAAGACTTTTTGACTTTGTGATGTAACTTAATATACTGTTCAAACGGCGTTAAACTCAACTCACTCACTGAGTCTAGAAATGTCATTCCATCACTGTTTCTGCCACATAAACTTAGGTTTTAATTTACTTATGTTCTCCTATGTGCAGGTGAGGACCGATGGCTGTGTACACTGATGCTTCAACAAGGATACAGGGTGGAATACTGTGCCGCCTCGGACGCCATGACACACGCTCCGGAACGATTCAAGGAGTTCTTCAACCAGCGCCGTCGATGGATTCCTTCCACTCTCGCCAACATCATGGACCTGCTACAGAGTTACCGAACAACCATCAACATCAACGACAACATCTCCTACCTCTACATGGGATACCAAGGTCTACTGATGCTCTCCACCATCCTGGGACCTGCAACTGTATTGCTTATGATGGCTGGTGCCTTCAACGCCGTCATGCGGACTAGTCTCTGGCAGTCGTACATCCTGGCCGTGGCTCCCTCTGTGCTGTATCTCATCATCTGCTTCATAGCTAAAGGCAGTATGCAGCTTAACATAGCTGCCATCATGAGTGCAGTGTACTCCTTGCTCATGATGGCTGTGGTGGTCGGAACACTGGTTCAGATTGCAGAAGATACCATTATCAGTCCCAACGCCGTCTTCTTGCTGATGCTGCTGGCCATCTTCATCATATCGGCGTGCTTCCATCCGCAGGAGTTTATTTGTCTAATACCAGGGGCTCTGTACTTCCTGTGCATCCCCTCCGGCTACGTCTTGCTGATGATCTATGCTATGTGCAACCTCCACATCGTTTCTTGGGGAACAAGAGAAGTGGCAACTCGAGTACCGGGGCCAAAACCGGCGGAGATAGCGAACGCCAAAAACAATCAAGCCAGTTGGATGTCCTTTTTTACCAGACATGAAGACGATAATTCGTGCTGCAGTGGTTTCGTTCGATTCTTTAGGCGGGTGTGTGGCGGCAGACACCAGGACCTGAACACTGAAATTTTGAGGCAAGTGATTGAAAAATTGGATAAGGTCGAAGCAGGTATGCGTAATGTCGGAACAGGGTTCCAGCATCAACGGCGGCGCTCGTCATCACGATCAAGAAGATCAAAGAGATCGAACAACATCAACGACATTGAAGAGGAAGCCGAACACGGTGACGCCTCTGCTACCACGACGTCTTCATCAGACGAAGAACAATACTTCGAAGAGGAAAGGGACGAATTAATCAACCCAAGATGGTTGGAAGACATGGGTTTGAGAAACGGGGAGGTTCAGTACCTTCCCATGAGAGAGATTGAGTTCTGGCAGAGATGTATTGCCAAGTACCTTCACCCGATACAAACGGATCGTGCACATGAGGTAAAGGTTAGCCAAGACCTCAAGTCCATGAGAAACAATGTCGCCTTTGCCTTCTTCATGATGAACGCTTTCTGGATGATCATCATCTTCATGTTGCAAAGTGTCAAGGACAAAGTCAGTATCCCCATCCCTCGACCTGGCACCACGCCCCTCCCTATCGAACCTCTCGGTCTTGTGTTCCTCATCGTCTTCGCTTTCATCCTACTTCTGCAGTTCGCTGCTATGTTGCGACATCGTTACGGAACGCTTCTCCACATCCTGGCATCTACAGATCTCCGTTGCTGCAGAAAGCGCTACGATCCCAAGAAGCATATCCGGGAAGCAGTGGAATACGCTCGCATGCTGCAGAGGCTGCGCGGTATTGATGAAGATCTAACCGACCAAGACTACGACTACAACAACCTCTACTCGAGCAGTGGAGAATTCGGACCAACATCAGCTCCTCCAAGGCCTTTTGAGGATAGCGACGTCCCCAACGCCTCCGCCCCGGAGAATCCTTTCCCGGGGATGTTCGACAACCCCGCGTTCCAGCAGGAATCAACCCCTAATATTGATGAGGGCGTGCCTGGCGAGACCACCACGGAGAAGAGAAGGAACCGCGCCAGAAGAAGCAGATCCACAATGGTAGATAAGAACAATACCCTGAGACGGGCGTTCGTGAGGCGGTACACCAAACTCCTTCGTCAGCACTCCGCAGATGTTAACACTGATTCCAACATGATGAACGGGGCTGGGGGCTCACTACGAGTCACATCCACAAGCAACGCCAGTCCTAAGAGAGAGACCGCTGAGGATCTGGTAGCCAGATTCAACAAGCTAAATAGGTGATAACCCCTAACTGTGCTAATCTCCAAGGTGATTACTGCGACAAACAAATGCATCATAAACCACGAACTGGGTAAAAATGTAACAATGTTCTCAAAAAAGTGAAATGGACGCCAAATGGTGAATCAAATGTGTTTAAGTCGTGGTTGTCATGGTGACACGAGATGATGAAGAGTCTCAGACAACAGGCAGGACTGATAACTCTAGAGATACTGTGCTCAATGTTGTCAAGTGCGTGGAAACAAGGTGATAAGTCTTCCAAGTATATATATATATGTATATGATGACCTGCGTGGCGCTCTCAGACCCATGCTTGTATAGGAGTCCACATTTGATGTGGAACTGACCACGGGTCTTCCGAACCGAAGACGATAATCGGACCGCGCGTGCAAAATATATCGGACAATTGATATTGCACGCGGAACGTGGTACATCTGATGAGTGACTATATGACTATTCAAGTCTTTCACAAACGGAGACGATTATTTATTGTAAAATATATTAAATCCATTTCCTCTGCGTATCTTATAATAACTATGCCTATACAACTATTGTTCTTCCATTTGCCCATTGTTGATTATTATTAATGGTTAAATAGGTTATGTCTAAGATACTAATGTGTACATTTTCCTGCTGTCCACGATGCCTTGCATTAACCATGACTTTGTTGTCTCCATGTGGCCCTGTACTATGCATATATTATGATATTACCTTTCTTGGGTTGTAAATGATGTTAGCGTACATGACTATTACGACGCGAGTAGAACCTTTTATAACTTGTAAATTCTAGTCTGTTTTCAAGCTTTTATACAAAAGTGCTTTTGTAAAGCGAATGGCTGATGTGAATTTATGACCCTCGGAATCTACCCCCGGGATCCAGCCCTACTGGGGCCCGGGGGAGGGGACGGAAGAGTCTGGATCGATGTTATGATGTAGCCTTACTTGCCATTCGCATTCTTTTTTCACGTAATGTTTTTAATTTTTTGTAAATTATGATCAAATCCGCTTTTGTGACTTCGTTTGTTTGAGTCGCTGTACTAAATGTTAGCGTGTGAAACTGCTACGATGGAAATGTTATACGGTGATCTGCTCGAATTGTTTGAAATAAAATGTTATATTTATGCACTGAATTATGTTTCTTGTTTACTATCACGAGTCGCATGTAGCGATAGGTTATCGTGATTGGTTGTCGTGAGTGAGTGAGTGAGTGAGTAGGGATCGAAACATCGAAACAACTTCAGTTATATCACAGTATGTCAGCTTAATATGGGAGACATGGGTACAATGTGTGAAGCCCATTTCTGGTGTCCCCCGCCGTGATATTGATGGAATATTGCTAAAAGCGGCGTAAAACCATACTCACTCACTCGAGAAAAAGCGCTGACAGGTTCTGTCGGAAATAGAAAAACATTCTGATTACTGAAAGAAACACCATGATGAGGAGCATACAGCTTTTTTACTTATTTGGCCGGTGGCCTTAGCCAAACAATCATATATGAAAAAACATTTACTTGTAAATAGTAATAAATTTGTATAACTGAAAGAATCACCATGATTAGTAGTATACAGCTTTTTGCTGAGACCACCGGTCAAATAAGTATCTATGAAAAAACGTTTACACGTAAAAACCCAAATACAACCAAACAGATCATAATTTGTTGTAAGGGTGATTGTGTAACCTCCCTATTGCATAACTACCTACACGTGTGAACATACATGTGGCGACAAGGTAGCCTCAACATACGTTGAACCGTGGAAACAACACATGATTTGTTCGTTTTTGCAAAACATAACGTTTGCGTTTGGATTACTCTCTCGTTTATTCAATAATATTTCAAATAAATGTCAAAGATGGTGTCTTGTTTCTCTCATCTTACATATTCTTATAGCTTGTTTCAGTGTTGTTCCTTTGGAGTTGAACTATATTTCAGACACTAAATATGATAGGAATAACTTTGTTAGTAAATGTCCATGATTGGAAAACAAAATCATTTCATGCTCTGAAAATTGATTTATTTCTGTAAACACGACCACTTATATGGTACGGACAGAGTATTATCTCAGGACGATTGGGATTCGTATCAATGACCGTCGGATCATGGTCGATACACACCTGTACATAGCCTCCATCGTTATTGTGCCTTTCACGCCCCATGGAATCTGTTTGGGCGGATAAGAGAGACTGGTTATTCTCTGGTGTTGACATGAAAAATAACACAGACCCGTGAAGCTGCCTCTATTTCATATTAAGATCTATACATAAAGATTCAGAGTGACAAAATCTGTCCACAAGACATAATGACAAGAAGGATGACTTTAACTCTCCAATAGTCAGCTTTCCCTGTATGTCGAGGAATATTCTACATTTTACAACCTTTGAGGTACATGATCTTTCTACTGGTGGGGCAGGATACGCTCATCTGTTCGCGAACACCTGGTATCATCACTATTTGATAGTGATTCATAAACACATGCTCATGATATAGTCGGAATCGTACCATGGACTCGGCTTTTAGCAGAAAGTTCGTGTGACTATGGAAAGGGTGTTGACGCTTTTATGTGATGGTTTGGCGTATTCTTGTTTGTTTTGTTTGTTTGTTGCTTAACGCCGCACTCAGCAATATTCAAGCTATATGACGGCGGCCTGTAAATGATAGAGTCTGGACCAGACAATTCAATGATTAACATCATGAACATCGATCCACGCAATTGGGATACGATGACATGCATCAGCTTAGACAGCGAGCCTGACCTACGACGACAAGCATAGTCAAGCATGGGTTGCTGAAGACCTACCGGATCTACCCCGGATCTTCATGGGTCGTATGGCCTATTGATACAATGCTGGAAGAAACGGTGACTAATTCTAACCATTCCGAGTATTAATCACATAACATTAGCTATTACGCAAGCTTCGTTTCTACTGCCGAGAGAGCAGGAAGTGCAGTGTTGTCATATTTAGAACACCGTAATATTTATAGATTGATATGTGTATCAGCAGCCGAGGAAACGACAACTAAGTTACCTAATTCTGCTGATTCTACACATCCAGCTATGCAGCCCAGTATTTAATATTGTTTCAAGTCATGTACTCTGTGCAGTTATTACTTGGATTCAAAGTTTGTCTTTTAAGTTTTTTCAACTAAGGTTTCACCATCAAAGGCCTGACAACTTCATTGACTTTTTAAGATGGACACTCGACCGCCTCCGTGGTCTAGGGGTAGAGCGTCCGCCCGACGAGCAGAAGGTCCGGGGTTCGATCCCCGGCCGCGTCATACCAAAAGACGTTAAAAGATGGTACTTGTTGTTACCCTGTCTGGCGCTCGGCATTAAGGGGCTAAAACAAGGTAAAGTCAGCTCGGAGTCAGTATACTGTGTCTGAGTTGGGTATTCATGTTAAACTGCGGCATGGTATCTCAGTGGGGTAAACCCCATTTCACCTCACCTCAACTAAAGGTGGACATTCAGAGGAAGTTACTTAATATGACACGTTGCTTGTCAAAATGATGCGCGACATTATCCCATGATATGACGCCAGCCCATCACAGGAACCTGTCACGCCTCCCTACTCACTGACACTTACTTTAAGGGTTCGGGTTGGCATGGCGTTGTTCCAAAACGACGTTGATCATTGCTCATGATGGATCACTGGATTGTCTGGTCAAGACTGGCTTGTTTACATGCCGCCGTAATATGGCTTGAGTAATGCTTGGTGCTTCCGGTAGAGCAGGACACGCTCTTTTGGTAAACACGTGGTGGCATCACTGACTTCGCAGTACTCTATTCATATAATTACAATCTCTTCTGTGCCTTTTTCGAACAACGGAATCATATTTTGGCAGATATTTAGACTGGTTATTCTCTGGCGTTGACGTTTTGAATTTAATAACATAATTTGGGGAATACACAGGTGATTTTAATAACTACTGCATACCCATCTGAAGTCCTGAGGATGCTGACAGTTGACCATCTAACAATCAAACCATTCATCCATCCTTCCTCTATCAACCATCCTTCGTCTTGTCAATCATCTATCATCCATCCGTCCATTCACCAATCAACCCTTCATATCCATTAAAACTAATCCACCCATCATCCATTCATCCTTCAAACCATTCATCATCCATCAAAATCCAGTCATACATCAAACTCCATCCTATCACCCACCCATTGACCATGGACTATCGAACCATCTGCCCATCCACTTATCACCTACCCATCCGTTTTCCTACCATCGTCGGTGCGTCAGAGGAAGTAAGTTAAGCATTATATTAAACTTGAAAGCTCGAAGTCAGCAGGGTATGATCAAATTATTTCATAACACACTGGTAATATATTGATCCCAGATTAAACCTCTTGTTAGCATAAGTTATTGGTCACTCGTTGGTTTCCAACTTTGTGTTCAGTGGTACTAATTGTCACCTTGCATAAGCTAGAAATACAAAAACCTTAGTCTGTTTCAAATTACAGATGTAGTATAGTGCTCGGGGTTTTCCGTTAGTTACACATTACAATTACCAACACTTGACCATGTATCTGGGATGATGGTGATGAAAAAATTGTTGAGTCATTAGCACAGTTGGCGGTAGGCGTTTTGAACTATGTACATGTGTATTTCACAGCCAGATGCTCGTCTTCGCTTATCAAAATAATATGGATAATAATAGTAAGACGAATTAAATGAGACTGTTAAACACATTGTCAGTGGATGCCAAGCTTTGGCACAATCACAGTATCTTGAGCGACATGATGGAGTGGCTCGATCCGTTTATTACCGTTTTCGCAATGCTTGTGGTTTCGACACAGAGGTCCAACCATGGTACGACCCAGAATATGTAGAGGGCGTCCTGGAAAATGATATATACAAAATTCTTTGGAAAAGGCCCGTATACAACCTCAGACCTATCCAGGCCAACAAACCTGTTCTTGTTCTATATTCGCCAATGAAGTCAGTTATATTATTGAATTTTCTCTCCCTTTTGTCACTAATGTGATTGACAAGATTCAGAAAAAACATGGCAAATATGCGGACCTCGCTTTCGAAATGTCACGCTTGCATCCCAAGTACCCAAGTACAAAATTGTCCGATTCCCCATTGTTCTCGGTGCCTTCGGTTTGGTACCTCCCAATGTGTTGACTGACATTGGGAGAGTACCCGGTTCTGCTGCAAGGAATGCAGCCTTTTTGACAATCTGGGTAATGCAGAAGGCTGCAGTGTTGGGTAGTCTTCACTTTCTTCGAAAAGTTCTGGCTGGGTTTTACTTGGCAGCTCTTCCTGGGAGAAGTCTCATTCGCTGTATGGGCTGCTAGTAGAGGGGGCAGGGGTTCTGAGCTGATGATGAGCCTAACCAGTCCGACTGTACCAGGATCACCCAAACCCTCTTTGCTGCAGTTTTAATCTTAATCTGTAAATACTAATCATAATCATATGAAATCAGTACTGTACAGTTCCCACTATGCAACAAGTATTTTTTTTATGAATCATTATCAAATAGTGATGACACCAAGCTGTCGCAAAGAGGGGGACCATATATGTTTCCCCGCCCATGGCCACCATTATAAATTTATGCTAAGGCAAGTCGATTATTTCCTCCATAAAAGACGGGAACATGTGCAAGTCACAATAGGGAATTGCATTGGAATTTATTTTTCACACTGTAGCCTCAATATTGGAAATGTCCTCCTCATTTCAATCTTCTCAGGGGATCTGTGTCCTTGTGATCCTTGTTATGAGGACGCCATGGTCGTGCTCTAATTTTACGGTCAAGGTGATCCCACAATTGTTCTATAAGGGATTGTGCTGGCCAAGGCAAGATGTTGTATAGGGGCTTTGTCCAGGGCCCAGGGATTCTGCAATAATGGTTCAACAACAGGGTAGAGAGATTGGTCAACGTAACGCTGTCCGTGGATGTTTCCTTGGAAATTCATAATGCCTGTCTAAACAGGGCTACAGATGCCGCGTTGACAGGGCTACAGATGCTGCATTGACAGGGTAAATGATGCCGCGTTGACAGGGCTACAGATGCCACTTTTACAGTTGCTGACACCTCCAAACGGATCGTTTTCTTGAACACAACAACGTGACGTTCGTTCTCCTCGTCGGCGGTGGACACACATTCA